GAATTAATGGAGTGGAATTCATATGCACTTTACATCAATATAAAGTCCTCTGTACGTACTCAAGATTTAAAAGACTACTTAAAGGCTATTTTTTCCTGTAGAGGAAGAGCATTGGCTCCCTCATTTTCTTTCCCTCTCACCTAAATTCTTATTTCCCATTTCTCCTGCTAATTTTGTGCTGTTTACCAGTTGTTCTTAAGTGTTTAGTTTCATTCTGACTCCTTGCTGTTTTTGTTTCCTTTCTCTTCCAACCTATTCTCAAACCCAGTCACTTTTACGTGCCAATCCCAGTGCCTTCCCCTTTTCTCTCTGTTTGCACTCTGCTCCTTCTTAAATTCTTCTTCACACTTGGCTTTTATGTTTCTTAGGCTTCTCCTCCCATTCTGATGCCCTGTCAGCCGTCTTTGCTTGGATTCAGTCCCCTCCAGAAATTTGAGCTTCGCCTTTGAGCTTTTGTGCTTTGACACCTGTCTCTAGTGTCACTCCCCTCACTCCCTTTGTTTTACCTCTATGCACATTACTCGTAAATGAGGCTCTCCAGCGAGGAGTAATATTTTCCGCCTCCGTTTTCAGCTTGTCTGCCTGTATTTCTTCTGTAACCTTATCACAAAGGAAAACACAACATCGCTGGGGCTCTCCAGAACCTGGGCGCACGGTGCTGCGCCTGCTGCTCACGTCCCTTTTCTCCTCTCCCAAAACCTAGCTGCTCTGCTTGTTTTCACCACAGCAAAGCTGAGGCGTGGGGAAATGTCTCACCTGGTGGAGCTCAGGAAATGTCTCACCTGGTGGAGCTCAAAGCCCACGTTACCCATCTGAGCTGCCAGGAAAGTAGCCCGTGTTCAGTCGGTAGCCCAGTGCAGTTGTGGGCCGCTTTGCTGTGACCCGGGGCTGTGGGTGCTCGTGGGCAGCAGGGCTGCAGCTCCTTGCTTTTTGGAGGTTAGTTTGAGTCCTTACAGATTCTATTTCTATAATCTTCATTATTAGCTATTTCTTTTTTCTAGAGGCCTGGAAGGCAAGAGGGTTCTTTTGCCTCTGTGGCCATTATATTCCCCTTCTTTTTATTTAATTGCTCTTTTTTTTCTCAGATGTTTCTCTAGAGTAGTGAATGAAAAACAGTTCTGCAAGCTCAAACGTGCATTTTTATAAATAGAGCCTTGAAAATCACACGTCAGTGGCTACTTGAGGTTTTTTTCTTGAAATAAAAATAGAAGCAAAAATAATACAAAATTTATCATTGTTTTAGAGGAACAAAAATGAGCGTAGTTAAATGTAGTRTAGTGAAATGATGCATGTTTCTCAAAATACAGAAATGTTTTCATTAATAACATTCTCAAATAAACATTTAGCATTTCAGAACTGTTTTAACTTCAGATGTTTTTAGTGCCAAATTCTCTTTGTGYAAATTGATAGTGCAAAATTTCATTATATAAACTGTGAAATGATCAGTGATAGCTTTAATATGAAAAATAGAGTAYTAGTTATTAGACATTTCAGGGGCCTGATGCAAGTATCCGTGTCCAGCTAGGTCGTGTCTAAGAATTTAGCTGAACGTCAATATTTATATTTAGGTAGTGCAGGGGTTTGAATCATACCTTCTTTTAAGTTCTAAATATGGATCATGTTTACGTTAGTGAATCATAAGCACAGACCGTAGAGCTGAAATAAAATCCCTTTCTGCCTTAGATATTCATGAACCTGATCTCAGCTCATACACACATGGTTCTGAAGAGCTCTGTATTTCAAAGCAAAACAAACAAACAAACAAAAAAAAACCCCAAAAGTGTCTGTACTTCATGCAGTTTGCTGGGAGGCCAAAGTTAGTATCCTAGATATAAAGGTGTGGGACATCAGTCAGTCACTGCTGTGTAAAAAGAGATTATTTCTGCCTTTGCACAGTTCCTCCTTGGGAAGCTTGTTCGGGACAGGTTTCTGTTTGATTTCTTGGCGTTTCTTTGCTTTTAAGAAAATCTGTAACTTTTATATACAGCCCGATCTGATACACAGTTATTTGGACTAACAATACCTTAAGTTAAACACACGCTACAAAGAAGCTGCTGAAGAAGTGTCCTGTTAAGTCTGTGAATATGGTTGTTTACTTGTGTGCTTGAAATGTATGACAGTTCTCCTGAGGTCACGTTCTGATCATTTTTAGTTGAATWCTTTAAGTAAAACCAAAATAACTTTTACGTTTTGCCTGCAGATTAATTATAGAGGGCAGAGAGCAGAGTGTTGAAGGAAGCAGGAGAGCAAGCTGTGGAAAGGGGCTGCGAGGACAGGAGCTCCTCGAGGAACCACATGTCACTTCTGCCACTGCTACCGTGCACTGAAGCGTGTGTCTGCTCTTAGATATAATAACAGGAAAGTTTGGGGAAAGGGTCTTACACTGAAATCTTGTTGTGGCACGGTGTGTTTTGGGGGAGGAGAGGAGGAGTTGATAAGTTCCAGTTGTTCTGAGCGAAAAAGAGCTCGATAGGTAAGTGGGATGGGCCTGGCCTGGTAGTGCTTGGGCCCTGTGACCCAATTCCCGCTGTGTCCAGAGCCCGGCCCGGCCCTGGGAGCAGGGAGTCACGTAGGGACGCCCTGCTCCCTGGGAGCACGTTGGGAACCAGCCCGGTTCTTCCTCGTGCTGGGCAGAGGTTGCGGCGCGCATTGCGTTCGCAGGGGCATTTTCTTTTGCACGTCTTTTAAGTTGCTGCCTTGCGCTATGGAAATGGTACTGGGATTATTTTCATCTGTTGTCTCTGTCTGCCTGATGGTTTTTAAACTGAAATACAGAACCTCCTCAGGTCAAACCAGTCCTTGAGCATGCCCAGGCTTTTTTTTAAAAACAAAAAATCTAAAACTAGTGTTCTGCAATTAYGTTTTCATATTTAAGATTTTGGGGTTTTTTTGTATTTGTATTATTTGCTTTTCCAATTTTGTGGAAAAATGTAATTGTACAATACTAGTTTTAGATGTCTTARCTCTAAGTAGCTTAAAATAAAAGTAGATTACAGTAAAAATAAACACTAATTTCATTTTGGCATTTCTTTGATATTTCACATACATCTTTACAGGATTGCATGTGATTGCATATGTTTTACCTATGTAATTCTTCCTAATACATGTTTCCAGCAGGAACCATAATGGTTAGTCTCTGAGGTTGTTAGCTCAGATTTGAAGTAAAACCAAACTTTTGGTGGAAGTGAGCTGCAAAATTTTGATGGTAAATAGTATCTTGAGATGGAAAAAACTTGTATAGTTAGTTACAGAACATTGAAACACAGTCATCCAAATGTAAAATATACCTAGCAATCAGTAGGACAATTGCAAATTCTCATGAAGCAGCGTGAGGTTCCTTTGTGCTTATACTGGTGAAAACCCAGCTTAAAAAGTAACTTTCCAAATGTTAARTTTACCTTATACTCTATCCCCTGCTTTTAATATCATAGCTTGTAGCTTGCGTAGCTTGGAAATTGGTTGCAGTTGTTTATTSTCTCCCCCATTCAAGAAAAGAAATACAGAATAAGATAATGGAAGTGCCTCTTTTTAAAAAAATGTATATTACCTTGATCAACATACAGCCTCTGACTGAATGCCTTGTCTAACATTATCTGTCTTTCATTAATTAGCAAATAAACTATTATCAGAGAAATATAGCCTGAGTCTGTTCTTTATGGAAGGAATTTCTTGATCACTATAATAGTTGGTAGAAATGCTTGATTTTAACAATCATTAATAAATACTTTCTGATATTATCCATGTTAACAAGGATCATACATACAGCTTTAATCCTAAGCATGTCAGCATTTTACAAAGCTGTTTTTCTTTCACTTTTCTGGTATGGAAGTTATCAATTTACAGATTCATTTTGTTTTTCGGACTGTGGCTTTTTAAAATATTGGCAAAAACTTGTGCAAAAATATCCAGTCAAAATGTGAAATGCTCAAGAGCAGCTATTTAAAAACAGAAGCATTTGAAAGAAATGGAAACAGTTATAAGTTTGGTGGTTACTGTTATGCCAACTATAATATATAGTTTCAGCTTGGAAAGTAAATGCATTATATTTTCCAACAGTTTAAAAGGCGTTACAAATAATGAGGACTTTTCAAAATAAAAAAGGTTTTTAAGAGTTATGTATCTAGAAAAAGCTGTGAATTTGAGRTTATAGCTGACGTGCTTTTAGATCATTAAGAAAATTAAGAGAATGAGCTTTCCAACCTCCTTTAACTTTCAAGATTCTTGAAATTCTGCAAGTTCATAATTTATTTCATTCTTAAAAACCGAGTCCTTTTGTCAGGACAAAATTTTTCTTCTTTGAAAGAAGTTTTGAAGAATTTGTTGTTCAAGCCATGCATAAAGTGGAGAAGCAATGACAAAAGAGAAAACAAAGAGGCAGGACATGGGACAGATGGTTGATAAGCACCTGCCTAAACCAAATAACTTCTTCAATATATTCTTCAATCTCAGCCATAAGTTCCACGATAAATTAAAAATTCCTAAAATAACTGCTGATATGAAAGGGAGTGCAAAAGGGATTCAGTCGCCGAGGAAGGGCAGAGTTCCTTTGAAGGGARTGGTTGGACATCAGCCAGATCTCAGGTACCTAGTGCCTGAACAGAAATACTGGCAGACACTTAACTTTGCCTGTTTGATTCACAGGGTTGCAGAGTGCATTGAAGAAACTTTCTTGTAGGACTCCTAGAATGACATTATTGCTCACTGGAGGCTTTTCTCCTAATCATAGTTGTTGTATTTTCAAACTACTCTGTGAGACACTTGGAGTTTTCATGAGTGTGAAGACATGGATTTTATCCATGGTTATTAGATGCATACATTGTGTACATGAAAATATTTATTTTATGGAGTTCTTTCATCCCCATTTGACCTGTGTCAAAGTTATGGGAGTTACATTGTCAACCTGCACGACACTATCAGAGTAACGCTATAAATAACTTCCTCCGTTTTGTCTTTTATAGTTTTCAGCTGACAAATAATATGTTGACCTGTAACATTTCCAGGCTTTGCTCTCTGTGCATGATACCGTGGCTCAGAAGAACTACGATCCTGTGTTGCCTCCCATGCCCGACGATATCGATGAGGAAGAAGATTCGGTTAAAATAATCAGACTTGTCAAAAACAGGGAACCGTTGGTAAGTCACCCAGCCATTTGTTTGGGATTTCTGTGTGTGTGCATGGGGTACAGAGTGTTCTGTTTATGAACGTGAATGGGTAGCAGTAACTAGAAATACGAATAGGAGAGCATTGTCCACGTTATGTATTACACTGAGTAATATACTTATTGAATGACACTTCACTGTGTGTGAATTACACTGTGAATAACRTTTTCAACTATTATTAATAAAGTATGTCAAATGAGTAAGGGAAATTTGTTCATTTATGGTGTTTGTGGGCTGCTCGGAGTAGTTATATCAATAATATATTCATCATTTATCTTGAATTTGAATCAGAGACTTCTTTCAAAAAGAGAGGAGAATGAATCCCCGAAGAAATGCTGACCTTTGTCATGAACTGTGTCTGTTCATGTAAAAAAAGTGACCTTTTGATACACTGAAAGGAGAGCATGAAAACATATTTTAAAATACTTCGATTGAAATCTGGACAAATTTAAGATGTCTGTTGTTGTACTTTGGATTATGAATACTAGAAAGTTAATATCTTCATGGGGATATCTGGAAAAATAAAAGGGCTAAACCTAGGTTGTGTTACAAGAATATGAAAATGTTTTACTGTTTTGGTTATTTTTATTTGCTGCAGAGTCATCTTGTATAAAATTTAACCTTATTCCTTTTCCTTCTGCAAACCAGCAAAAGCTTTGTTTTATGTTATACTGAATGTTTGTTTTAATGGACAATGATGCTGAAGAAATATCTGCAAAGTTACTTTGAGAAAACTGTGATTTTGTGTTTGAGGTGACAAGGAGAGAATGATGCCTGTGTTAGATATACAGGGGCAGCTTGTCTGACCATAGATATCTTCGTATCAGCTCTTGTTCTTGATGAATATCTCACGTCAGTAAATAGGAAATGAATTTTAGTATTAACTGCCTGTAGATGCCCCTGAACCCCATTAAAAATTTGACCCGTGTAAACTTTTCAATAGAATCATTATAGTTGGAAAGACCTYCTGAGATCATTGAATCCAACCATCTTACCAAGAATATGCTTAATTGGTCTTAACATACTAAATGTTTTTTCCCAACTATCCAAATCATGGACCTATTTATTAAGGGTTTTGTATTTATTTTACTTTTTAACAAGGGTATATTCTTTAAGGAAGAAAATAAACGGTATCAGAAAGAAGATCAGTTCTGAAACACAGAAATTTGAACATACCATATGAAATGAGTTCCAATTGAACAACTTTTAGTATTAATGAAAATATTCTTGTTCTATTTGAATTTRTGTGAGAAAATCTTAATGATGTAAAATCCTAATTCACATGGTTTCACATTTGACATGTGATTTGCTACTAAAACCTTGAGTGAGTTTGCGAATTGTGYCATCCTGCAGTGCAGTAGCTTCTTATCATGCTAATTTTCTGTCTGTAAAACTTTTCTTCATAAGGAAGCTGTGGGGAGAGGATTGTTTCATCTTCTTTCCTGCAAAGTGGGAAGCTTTACATCAGCTGCCCATGCTGGGAGTTCCTGACTGTATCTCCTTTGCATACGTTGTATATATGTATGCACGTGTTGGAGTATGGTGTGCAGAAAACTGGACACTCCCTTAACTCCTTTGGAATAGATCTAACGCCTGATTAATCTGCACCCTATTTCCTCTTGTGCTGTTCGTGTTTTTCTCTGATTTAAGAACTCTCTGGTGCTCCAAGCCCTTGCTCACGTATTATTGAAGACTGTTGAGAAGGAAACACAGTGGATTGTGGAGGCTTTCTCAAGGCCACATTTCAAAGGGTTTAAAATCGTTGCTTAACTTCTCTCCCAGTCCTTCTGCMGAAGGTGATTCAAACTTTCAGTTCATCCTTCCACTTTTTTTCTCTTTTTTAAATGTATATATTACTGCTCTATTGGCAAATGGCATTCTCACAGTTTCACTCAAGTGAGRTGAAATTACATATTGGGAAGCTTTGTCTCAATGAAGTGATTTAGAACTTCCCTGAGCCTTATTATGTAGGCAGGACTAGAGACACCTCCTTTCCAGAGGTAGTGCAGAATTCACCCACCTAGCATTTTTATCAGAGGGCTTGGAAGATTTTTACTTGTGCCACAGGTTAGGTTTTTTTCCAGCCATTTGGGTCTTCCTGGTGAATGTTGCTGATATCTGAAATGTGCAGGGGGGCTGCGAGATGTTAGTTCACTTGGTGGCCTGTGTCGGCTTGTGGCCTGGCTCCCGACTCCGATTCCACGTTGGATAGCGCTGGCTGCGGATCTCCTCACCACACAGATTCATCTCACACAGATTTGGCCACGTGGGAGCTAATGTTTGTGCAGGGCCTGTTAGTCAAGAAAAGATAGGCAGCTCCTGAGGTTWGAATCATTGCCCCTCTAAAATGCCCCTTCTGACAAAGGCTGATGCACTCTCCTGAGCTGCCTGATGCTTTTCAGCAACGGCAGGAGGAGCCTGGACACCTCGTTTGAACCAGGTACTTGCCTGGCTTCCAGAGCTAAACCGGGGTGAGATGAGTTGCTGGGGGGAAGAGTGTTTCATGTTCTGCTGTCATGGAGTCTGCAGCCTCCTGTGCATCTTAGTCACCGTCCTGTAGCTGGGCTCTTAGGAGAGATGAACGAAATAAAATCGATCTGTTTTATAGGTGGGACTAACCTGCTATAGGGACAACCTCAGTGGGTACTGCCAGGAGTTGGCTTTTGTGTGCATAGCCTGTAGTGTTCCAGGAGTGGAATTTAGACAGCACCTTTTAAAATAGCTGTTCTCTATAAGGTAGGTAACTGATTTTCAATACTGAATGCATTAAATTCAATATTAARTTCAGTGTGAATGCACTAAAATAAGTTTTATTGAAGGTCTCATTTGCATTCAGTGTCTTAACAGAAAAGTGTGCAAAAATATTACTGGTGTTACAAATGCCCTTATCCATGATTTATTTTACAGGCTGGCCTGTCTGTCTTTGAAAAAGAAAGGCTTATGATATTGATATTCTGGAACAAGCAGATAAATAAAAATGCTCACAAATGTGAAACCCTAAATGGTGCTCACCAATCTGTGTCATTACATTAAAAATGGAAAAAAAAAAATGAAGAGGCAGCTTCACTGACGGAGCTTGTATTATTTTTAGTGCTTTTGCATGGTACACCTTTAAATTTTTTCTCAGTCTGATCACCATATGTCTCCCAAACTCCTTATTTTTCCCTTTAAAAGTATTTTCAACTGAACTATGCTATTACATCTGTATATGTCTCATTTAGGGTAACTTACACTTTTGGCCAGCAACACTCAAAATATTTTCCAGCTCTCAAGGTCCAGCCTAACCTTCTCCCATTTTTAAAGCTCTAAATGAGGAGCTGTGCTGCACATGTAACTGCAAGTACTGGAGCTGAACATCTCATAATAAGAAATTCTTGCCAGATTATATATACCTCATAGTTTAAGCAGAGTTGGCAGCAGTACAAGAGAAACTGCTTTTTCTGAAAATCAAGTCTCCGGGCATTCAAGAAGAAATCTCTTTGATTTCTTTTTAAGTATTCTAAATTTAAGGGGAGGGAGATATGAAGAACTCTATTTTTCCTATGTTTACTGTAGGTACAGCAAAAATCACAAATGTAGCTTCTTATGGGGCTGCCCACTCACTTGATCTTTGAGTTTGCCAGGAAGGAATTATTTTCAATTAGCTAAGTTGGATTTAATATTTTTTGTTTAAACTATAACTAGATTTTGTTCTTTGTGTGAAAAATCCAAATTACCTTGACTTTCTACAACTTCTCTCAGGTCAGTTAATCTGTGCTTAGAATTCATTTTGTGCCAATGTATTGCTAGTGGTAAGTGCCTAGAGCATAAAGCAACTGTTGCACTTTGACAAGTGCCTTATCATCGTTGCCAGATGTCCCCTTGGCCAATACTCCCTTTGATTCCAGGGTCTTTCCTAGGGCTGGTCTAAACCCAAGGTGCAGTAGTGACCATTTTCAGACATGACCATGGGGGATGTGGTGGTCAGGGGAGCCCAGTGGAAGGCTGCCAGTCGTGGTTTGCACTTGTACTGGATGAAATATAATATTGTTGACTTGTAGGTAGTAGGCATAAAGCAGTGTTTTTTCAAAACACTTTAGTGCCGAATGGGAGTCTCTGCTGTATGTGGACAATGTCCTCTGTTTGGTTCTAGCACCGTAATGTCGCCCTTTTTTTATTAATATAATCATAAAAGATGCTTAGTACTTTTAAACAGATGTTACTTTTCAGATATTAGTAATAAACCTCAAAATAATAGCTGCAGCTGGGAGATCAGAATGGATAATGGTGCTCAATGCTTTTTATACAGAAGTCCAAAGTCATGAATTTCTGAAGTGAGATTAATTGCAGCTAATCATTTATAATTCCTTCTAAGCTCTCAGACTTACTGAAAGCTGGAATGAGGTCATGATAAGGAAGGCAAGCAAATTTCGACCAATTTAATTGCATTATAAGCAGTATGTAAGGCCAAGTTGAGCAAATGCCGGAGTTGCAGTGCTTCCCATTAGAATTGCACACAGATTTATCTAAGGCATAACTTAAAATGGACAATATGCAGCTCTACGATTTTACTGAGAGTGCTGACTTCTTTTAGAGCTTTTGCTGAAGATAATACTGTATAAATTGTGGTGAGTGTATAAGTTTTCCTGAGGCAGTTTTCTCTGTTTGCAATAAATACAGTTTGCATAGCACTTATATGTATATATAGATGTCATATATAATATAGAACAACATAATATATATGACTACATTAGTATAACCATAAATATTCTAAGAAATATTTTCCACTCTTCTCTTGCTTATTCCTGCCGCTCTGCAGGACTCAAAGTTGTCACTTTGTGCCTCTTTGCAGAACACATTCGTAGTTCTAGTTACAAAGGCCTTTTAATGGTCTACACAGCTATTCGCTAGCAATTTAACCATGTGATGTCATTTAACCTAAATGTCTTCCAGTGTGTTAATGTAAAGTGTGAAAACAGTCATGACTAATATAGGAAGTGTTCTGCTTCTCTGCATTGTCTCTCCTGTATTCCACAGGTAAGCACTGGAGCACAGGAGGATTTCCCAAGTTTATGCTCGTCTCTTGGTAACACTGTAAACCTCTGATGTCAAAAAAGGAAAATAATTGTCAGTGAGTGTCCAGGCAGTTCCAAATGCCAAGTGCAGTGTTATATTTTATTGTAAAATTATGTTTTAAAATGTTTTGTGTGTCCGTTTTATGAACAGGTGCCCTTTCAGGCTTTTTCAGGCTTATCAGTACTGTATCAAGGTTTGCAGTTACATACTAAATGTTTTTTAGGTTGGTGAATTAAACTTACATTCAAACTAATGTTTTTTTTTTTTTTTTGAAGGGGGCTACTATTAAAAGAGATGAAAATACTGGGGCAATTGTAGTGGCCAGGATAATGCGTGGAGGTGCTGCAGACCGAAGTGGTAAGGCRTTGCTTCTTGCCTCTAGTCTTTCAAATTACATAACCCAGAAAGAAATGAGATGAAGTGAAAATATTCTGTATGCATGAAATACAGCAGTATGACAAAAAATGAAGTTTTTTCCAGATTTGGAAAGTTTTCCAAAGTGATGTTTCAGTACTAGTGAAAGTATTTCTTATTGAATTGTTTCTCCAATGCACTTGTAACAGAGTGTAATTGAGCTATTAGATGCAGATTTTTGTTGATTTTCTTTTTTTTTTTTTTTTTTGTGTAGCATCATTAGTTTACAATTAAAGACATCCACTAAGCCAAATTATAACTTACTGCATTACTTTATATGAGATTTTGGATGTTTCTCTAAGAAACTCTCTATATTTTTCTTACTTGTGAGTGGAAAAAAGACAAAAAAAATCATCATTTTACATTTTAGATTAAGCTAGGGATTTTTTTTAATGTCATTTCCTGACAAGCCTCAGAGGTCTTAATTCTAGAGAACAATTGGATTCAGCTCCAGTTTTATTCAAACCATCTTGCTCGTTTAAACTACACTATATTTCAAGAGTGTCATCAAAAATGTAGTTTTACTTCATTATTGAGTGATTCTCTACTTTAGTCAAACTTTTTCAACAGAGAAACAGTGACCTTTACAAAATTTTGATCAAAGGAGATGGAAAAATGAAGCAATATTAATGYATGGGGACTGTTTCTTGAAAGCACAATGCATTGGGCTCAGAAAGTGAACTACTTTGTGGCACTCCCWCTGCCTAGGGGAGCCCTCACATTTAATGAAATTCAGGAGAAAGATTACCTGTGGAAATAATTTCTAAGAGCTATTGAATCAAGGCGTCTTTTTAATGCTCTGTGGTATCTGACTAATATAAAAAGAATAAACTAATTTACCTACATGGGTGGCTGCTATCATAAAGAACTCATATTAACATCACCAACTGTTGTATTCTCTCCTTTCCTTTTTTCCTCGCAGAAGGCACTACTGTTAAACTTGGTTTTGCTTCTGTTGGGAGAGTGACTTTTACTGCCCATTTTTCCATTGGCTGTTCTTGYTGAAGTAATCAAAATCATTTAGGAGAATATTTGAAAGCTGTAGTGTATTCATTTGGGGGTTCAGCTGGTGACTGTCAAAATACCAGCACACCCCTGACTCCTGTTGCTTGGGATATTTAAAATCCACAAAAACTTGACAATTACCCTCTGAAGATGCCTGTCTGTTTCCACTGAAGGCAACTGAGAGCAGCTATGAGGAATAAATCTAGATATATGTTGTTAAATTAGGAAGCATTTGTGCCTCTAAATTAGCRAAGCCATCGTTGCAATACTTGCAACTTGTAAGAAAGTAGTGTGAGTGGAAGGAGAATTGGCACAAACATCTTTCAAACATCTGCATGCAAGACAGTCTGGAAAAGTCATACAACAATGGGGCTAGTTTTCAGGAGGAAGGAAGGGGGGTGAATAAATCAACTATCTCATGGCTTTCTGTGAGGACATTATCTATTGTTTTGTTCAGCATATATTCCTTTATATGCCCTTCAGTTAGAGCTTAAAATGGACGAATACCAAAAAAAAAAAGTTGATAGCGTCTTTCACATTACAAAGAATTTCCATTTACTAACTCCTCTTTTCTTTCTGTAGGTCTTATACATGTCGGTGATGAACTCAGGGAGGTCAATGGGATTCCTGTAGATGATAAAAAACCTGAAGAAATAATACACATTTTGGTAAGTACTTAACATTTCAGGATGAATTTAGAAGAGTCAAGAAAMAGTAATATGACTTACTGTTCCTGGTGTATTTCTTAGAAAAAGTATATTCTAAAATATTGCTTTTTCTTTTGGTAGCATCTTTTATAAACCTGTACTTCCTTTCTCTTAGGAATTAGCTCAGGAGTTCTCTTAGGAATTGACTCAGGAGTTAATAACTCAGGATTTAATGATAATAATAAGTCCATAAGTCCTCCTCATAACTCAGGAATTAATGATAATAATAAGTCCATGAATATGTTGCAAGCATCACTGTATACACTAGAGTTTAAGTTACGAGCTGATTGGTTGAGTTCAAATCATTTTAATCTTCGTTATTATTATTGCATTAATTCCACAATAAAATAAAATGTCATTATATATATGTACTGGATGTAATCAAATAATAGGCTATATTAGTAGTATATTGATTCACAGTTTATAGTGAYATATGTCTTGTTTGCTGTCTTCTGACCTACGCAATTCCTAAAGTCAACCTAACGACTTGCTTATGGAGCTGAAATTAAATTATTTGAGATTTTTCAGAAATATTTGATGTTTTTGCAGCAAAGAAGCTCGTGATGATGACGACAGTTCTTTATATTCACAGTTTAGTCATACATAAATGTATGGTTGTCCTGCTGAAGTGAGTGATGTCTTACAGGTTTGGTTCAGTACCCAAAATGATCCCTTTTAAGTGTTAGCCCAGCAATATGCATAGTTGCTTTATGGTTTTGTGTTCCCCAAAGAAACATATTTTCCTGTAAAATTAATATTTAAAAATCGCCAGGAACACAATAGCACYAGAAAAGGTGTGAACAATTTCCCCATTTACCTCCTCAAGGTGCCATATAAACATCAAAAGCTACTTCAGAGCCTGTTTCCAAAGCAGCAGAATTATTGATTCCAGTCCTCGGGCTGGGGCAATAAGYGCTTGGCTGCTGCTTGGCAAACAGGGAGCTCTTGGATCCCAGACACGCTCGGTGTCTCGCTCGGTGGTGGACAGGCCTGTTTCCATTTTGCTGCAGTCCTTGGCTGTCTCTTGCACTCCGCTGGCTTTAGGGGAGTTGTCGGCCGCCTGCAATAGCAGCAGAGTCTCCAGCTGATTAGCACTTCCTTCAATAGCAACATGTCACTGAGGCACTGGGAATATATTGTGGTTAATAAGGCAAAAGCAGCCAGACACGCTTTAAGTGGGATATAGGGAAAGATGAATGGATGAGGTGGTTGATGATGGCTAACTTGTTTTAAGATTTATAGAGGAGGGCTTTTTTTCCATTTAGTACACGTAGTCTATTCAAAAATGTTTTTCTTTTCGAGCTTCTTTAACTTGCCAAAAGAATAAATCCCCTCAGTAGTTTTATATGATAAATATGGCACAAGCCTATTTGAGTTTTTCTATCGGGCTTTTTTTTTTTTTGAAAAATGAGATGTTAGTGGATTTTTCCAGGGATCTCCATACTTTGCCAGGGACCCTGCAGTTGCTTCTAATATGCATAGATTTTAACTGTCACATTTGCTCTTCAGTGCGGAACGGGTACCTCTGAAACATGTAATTCCCAATTTTTAACATTCCTTCCCTACCTGCCTGTGATGCCAAATAAACGAGTGGCTACCTGTGCTCTTTGCGGTTCGCAGTCTGTATTGTGAAGCTGTCAAACTCCATGAATCGTGCTTGTGAGAGGACAAATTCATTGTAATTTTAGTATTTTAAAATTAATTGGAATTTTCCTTCCTCTTCAGATTTATTATATTGTTTAAAATGTAGATTTAAATTCTCAGTGCATTTTCTTTTAAAATATTCCCCAGGCTCAATCTCAAGGAGCAATTACGTTTAAAATTATACCTAGTGTGAAGGAAGAAGCCCCAGCAAAGGAAGGCAAGGTAGGTAACTCCTTAAGAATATTTCAGAAGCTATTGCAGTAACTGTCATGCTCGTCATTCAAGTCCTTTACTTTAAAGGCAGAACCAAGATTTTATTTATATCTCAGGCCTCAGATTTTCTGGTGTGATTATTTTTAGGGCACTGTACACTTGCATACTCATATGCTGGCTTTACAGGTAGGTTTAGCTCWGTTCTTAAGACTCAAACTCTGCAGCCATCAAATTGAAAAAGACGGTTTGCAGTCTGCTCTTAGGACCTGACCTACTTCCAAATACTTCTTTTCTCCCATCCTAAACTGGRCAGAAGGTATTTCAGGGCACCTTAGTTCAAAATTCTCTTCTTTCCTGTTCCTCTTGCTACCGTTTACCTGCAAATTTCTTTTTACCTTTGGGAGATGGATCCTTTAGCCTTACCAGGTGCCAAGTCTGGTCTCAGGAGCAATGAATTAAACATTGCTGTATTATCTTCTAATGTGAGACTTCCATATGGATGCCTTATATCAGTAAATGTTTATTAGATTATTTAACTCAATGTTTTTGAATAGTAAAAGCAAAAAAAGGCAAGCTACCTTTGGACTGCATTTAATATGTGAATTCTAAAGCAAGAACACTCACTCTTTGTTTCAGATGTTTATCAGAGCCCTGTTTGACTATGATCCTAATGAGGATAAAGCAATTCCCTGTAAAGAAGCTGGACTTGCTTTCAGAAAAGGAGATATCCTTCAGATCATGAGCCAGGATGATGCAACCTGGTGGCAGGCCAAACACGAAGGTGATGCCAATCCCCGAGCAGGCTTAATCCCTTCAAAGCATTTCCAGGAGAGGTGAGCTCTTCAGAGGCATGGTTGCATTACGTTTTATAGTCAAAAAAGACACTTATTTGCAGAGTTTTCAGTCAGCACAGTTGTCATAGATTACATCGGTATGATGAACCTGCACTTGCAGCAAGACAACTGAACTTGGAAACCCATTGCTGAAATACTTGGATTTCCTTATTTGTCTGGCTAGAATTAATAATGACAAAAACTGATAGGATGACACTGATCCAGACTGAAAGAGAAACCATATGGAAAATAGCACATCAGTATCTGTATTCACCCTGATGTACTATGCAGGAATAAGAACTGCAGCAGGTTTCTGGAAACCTTACAAAAATTTGAGGCTCGAGATTTAATTTTTTAGAATGCGAATAGATTGTTTTAAGTTAATTTCTTATAAAGCCTTTTGAATATTTTGCAATAGTCTCATGATGTTAAGTGTTTATTAATCCCAAACTTGCAGTAAAAATTGAGGAGTTTGTGTCTTTCCTCACCACCTCCTATTTTATAGGAGATTTGCACTGAGAAGACCAGAAGTGCAGATTCAGCCCCTGAAAATTTCCAACAGAAAATCATGTAAGTCTGTTAACCTGGAATAGAAATCATAATCCTGATCTTTAACCTTATAAAAGAGCAGTTTGTTTCAGCCTTGTGAATAGAAGATGCATTTCCCCAGGGAACAATAACTCCTTGATCACTTTGTATCAGTAGGAAAAAAAATATAACTGAAATTAAAGCTTAGAACTTTAAGAGCCATCCAAAAGTCATTCCCAAGCATCTGACTTTGTTTTTGAAGCACTAAGCCCAATTAATGTTTTGATATATAATATTTCAGAGGTCAAGGAGTGTTCTTTTCCTGTTGAAATATTAGAGAATATTTAGAGAACTCTAAAGTCTATATAATTTGGACTGCATCAATACAGTGAAATTTATATAGAGAGAGATAATAGGTCTGATGTTCTCCCTTCCCTCCACCATAAGGCTGATGATTTTTTTTAAATTTTTTTTATGATTTTTTTTTTTTAGGGCAAGACACTCAGTTCTTTTATAGGCTCTCTTGGTACTTTTTCTTACTGTTTTCTAAACAAATTCATTTTTAATAGTCTCTGCTTTAAAACGCAGTAGTTGCACAATATAAGAAAAATAAGCTCTAAGCAAGCACATACATTGAAACAAATATTTTCTTTCCACTGGAATTTACATCAACATCTGTTTTAAGTATTATTGCATATTTTACTTGACCTGTTATTTCTTTCAGTTATACAGACTCATAACAAAGTGAGTACAATGTATGAAACTATAACGTTTCAGTAGGATCTAAACCTTAAATACAAACATGTTTGCAAGTTCAGCTAGAAATATTCAGAAACCGGTCTAAAATTTCCAAACATCTTTCCTCCTCTATCATTAAAACAAAAAGTATGGATACCGTGGCAAACAGTGGATGTTGGCACACTGCAAAAAAAAAAAAAAGAAAAAAAAACAAATTCATTTAACTTTAGAGCTTTTCACTGAGGTTTCTGTTGCAGTTTTCCCTAACTCCTTGCCATGGCTTTTGTGTTCCTAACTTCGATAATTACTGTTAGTTTTTTAATCCTCAAGTATATTTTTCTAGCTTTCATTCCATTACACTATTTGATGATAAATGCTAATGATGTCATTAACTCCAAAAGCCTCAATTAGCCCYGTAATTTCGTTAACAGGAAACTGCATGGTTACACTGCAGCACTTCCAATTTACATAGCTCAGAACCCTGAGGAGGTCCTCTAGCTTGCAGTGAATATGRTGTTTCTCTAGCTTCTAGGTGAAGTTGCTGTGCCCCAATTTTGGAAAAGTTTCTGATCCCAGGGTATAGCTATTTCTGCCCACTGCTCTTGCGTGGGCATAGTCCCCGAACAGGAGCCTTCAAATAAGGTGACCCTGGTGCTTTTGAAGAGGTAAATCAGCTGCTGCAGCAACGCTGCATGATTTGTTGTATAACAGATGGCATCTTTTTACTGTTTTTTTTTATGAAAGGTTTTACAAGCTGCAGCTCACCCTTCCAAGTAAGCAAGCTGTACTTGGTTGGGAATTGCCAAACTTGCAATCCCGAGAAGGGCCGCAGGATCATGTGTGCTGTTTTTCTCTCTGCTTTCCCCATTTACCTTGTCTTAACCAGCTTAAACAAGTGAGAAGAACTCTGTTCCTCTACTTTCGTTTAAAACACCACAGGGCCTTGGGGTTGAGCAGTGTACCTATTACAGATCTCTTTTAGATTTTCTTGAAAAAAGGAAGGTCCAGCTTAGTGTTGTTTAGAAGGCAGAAGTGCCTCAGGAAAGAGGAAGGACAGAAAGGTAATAGGGATTTGCCATTCTCTCTTTTCTTTATATCTTAGGACAATCTGCTGCTAAGGCTGACAGATTTCCATGGGCAGAGGAGGAGTGCTGTTCTGAGTGGATATCCACCACTTTTTTTCAAAGATTAAACATGTTTTTGGTGTTGAAAGGGAATTTCAGGCTCTTCACAGATGAGATATGTTAGGGACAAGAATTCATCTACAGAAAATTCTTGTCATGAATAAAATGTTGCTCAGGGTGCTCTCAGGAAAAGCTTGCACTTGTCTGTCTTCTCAGGAGAATTTCAGGGGATCTGGAAGAAGCTCTGCAGCCTGGTGATCTCTTTAAAGCTGGGAAGTGTCTTTGTGTTAGGAAGCAAGGCACTGAAACCGAGATGTGGAACTCGTGCCCACATTTGTGCACAGCAGCTTGCCAACTCTTGCCAAATTGGGAGATGATGGAAAATCTTGCATTGCAGAGCTGARTTGGGGAGTTGGGGGCCAAAACTCTTCTTGGTGGTGGTCAGTAACAGGAAAAGGGGTAATGGGTATAACTTGAAACACAGGAAGTTCCGTCTCCGTGTGAGGAAGAACTTCTTTCCTGTGAGGGTGACAGAGCCCTGGCACAGGCTGCCCAGGGRGGTTGTGGAGTCTCCTTCTCTGGAGATCTTCCAGACCCRCCTGGACTCCACCCTRTGCCCCGTGCTCTGGGTGTCCCTGCTGGAGCAGGGGGTTGGACTAGATGATCTCTAGAGGTCCCTTCCAACCTCAACCACTCTGTGATTCTGTGAACATATTCCCAGGCTATTCAGAAACATGTGGGGAAGGTGACATGGAGAAGATGAAAAAGGGCCTGGTGTTCTTGTCATTTTCTGTATTGTGGACCATCGCCCACTATTGACCTCTAATATTAACAATTAAAAAATAAAATACATAAAATAAATATATAAATTTATATAAAATAAATATAAAATATGAAGAAGTAGGACAGTGGCTGAATGCYTGAGTCCTCTGGTTTTTAGTCTTGTATTACTAGCATTCAGCTTGGTGTAGTGTTCGTCAGTGTTTAGAGGGGTAGTTTTGTGAGGGAAACAGTGTTCTGTAGATCTGAACAAGCTACATATGGAAAGATTCCTTGCTGTTGTAGTTGACCCCATCCAGTCCTGTGATCTAAATTTCCTTAGCAGTTGGGATGGAAAGGGCAATTTGCCAGCTGATATTCCTTACGGGTGCCAAAAGATGAAAACCTGTTGAACTTAAACAGAGATGCTAATAAAAGGCCCTTTCCTGCGAGGGCTGGAGTTACTCTAGGGAGCTTTCTTGAGACGTGGTCAGTAGAACAGGGTGTCAGTTCCCTCTGCTCAGTGGATTCATCCCATAGATCCCACACTTTGTAATGAGAAAGAAACCCAATCAAATTTCTTTGGTTTTAATAGGGAGAATTGAGAAGAAATATTTCATTTTTCCTAAATATCAAGAAAATGTGGATCAGCTCTGATTTCTTTAGAGGGCTTCCAGGGCAGTAGTACTTTTTGTCTCTCCCCTTATGGCAGTTTCTGGAACTGGGAAAGAGTTGGTTGCATTTAACCAGTCTCAAAGGAAAAAAGCCATCTATCTGAAACATATTCTAAGTCTACAAGAAGAAAGGTCAAATTCTTTCTATTTCCAATTTTGATTTTTTTAATACTTAATCAGCCTAGCAATGTGTGTCATGTGATGTAATTAATATGCATTTATATTTGGGTACCATAAATTCGGAAGCCCAGAGAAGCTTTGGTGATCCTGACCAYATGTGCACATCCTGAGGAGAGGAAATTTGCCATGAAATTTTTCAACAAGAATGGATTTACACTGAAAAGAACATGAATCTAGGCTCATTTTAAATAATTAAAAGGATTGGTTTATAATTGAAATGCCAATGCTTAGTTTTAGTTTAAGACACTGCCATAAGCCAATTGTTTCATTGTATCTATGTGTAAAGTGAATATAATACTCTGTAAAAGAGAGTACTGTGCAGACACAGTCACCTCTCCTAGAATGTAGTCGTTGTCCTGAAAGACATAACAGACTCGTTCTCATATTGCACCAGCCGAAGTGAAAAACCTTTAATATGTGTAATGTCAGAAGAGGAAGTAAAACAATAAACATTATATATTGAAAGGTAAGTGAAATCACACTTTATTATTTGAAATGGGAGAGGGCACGTAGCTTGATCCTATCGGAGAGTAAGGTGGAGGGAAATTGATAAGCTAGCCGGAGGCTACATGGAACAAAGATAATATTAAAGTAAGAGAAAGTCCAGGAAAAAGTAGAAATGAGGAAATGAGGGGGRAAAAAAGCAGTAAAGTGAATTTTAGTGCTGATAATAAAGGAAGAGAGAAATTACTACAATAAGGACAGTGGAAGAATGGTTGAATAAAAACTGCCTTTAAACCCTGCTAGGCAGAACTCCAGAGAGAATGGTCTTTGAAATGATTAAATTAGTACTATTAACAGGATTCTGAGTTTGAGTAGTCAGTATTTGCACTATAGTCTCATTTTTAATTTCTGATTTCTTTTCATATAAAAACTAGTTAAAGTTTTTTAAATGGTGAATGCAAATCCCATATGAACATTGACCTATTACAGTTTTTTATTATCAATGTAAAACCATCTCAAAGAGTTCAACATTGTTAATATTTAATAAGATTTAAGTGCATAAGACAAGTGGCAGTTTGGATGTGCTGACCTATCTGATAAAATTGATAATTATTTCTTAGTTATATTATTATAGCTGATAGTTATTTCTGAGGCCGTTAGTGCAAACTTGTGAGGCTCTGAGTTAGTGTGAAACTCACAAAGCATTTTCAGCATTTTTCTCAATACATAACACCCACAACTTTGCAGCCAAAAGTAGTTTTAATTGTTCATTTAATATGATGGGAAAAATACACTAGGAAAAAATATGAGGAAATAAAAACAAAGAAAAGAAAATAGAAAAATAGAATGAAAGTAAAGGAATAGAGATGCATGAGATTGTGTTAACGAGAATAACCTTCTGCATCTTGGGAGAGTGAAGTCTGCTTTATACCTGACTGGGGGTGAATGGAGCTGGTGGGACACAGCGGGACATGCAGTACAGAGGTGTCCAACTGCAAGAAATTAGCTCGAAATTGTCTGAGATTATGAGTGGTGATGGAATGCCAGCCCTGCAGAAACCTGCTTGTSTGATACTCCTGAGGAATAATGAGCAGCACTGCTTTCAGTAGCAGTAGCACAGGCACAACTTTGTACCCAGAGCTGGCTCTGTGAGGTCTCCYCTTACTTCACCTTGGCTAATGAGGAATGCCATGAGCCTCAAGGACAGGGAAGAATTCATTTTTTTATTAATTCCAAGCCTGTGAACTTGAATGCAAGGAGCAGTCATGCACTGGCTGTAAGAGTCACTGCCAGCAAGCAGTGATGCTTGCGTTTGCAGCGTGCTTTATTTTGTAGATAAAGCAGCAATAGCCTCTTCTTTTGAAAAGAAAAGGTAAATTTACATTACAAGCAAATAATTTAGTTACTGTTCTGCTGTCCTTTGGAGCTATAAATATATCAGCCAAGATACAGCATCAGCCTAATTTTGCCTTCAATATAATATCAGCATAATTTTGCCTTCATAACAATTACTGTTTTTCTCTCATGTTACTATCTGTTATGAGAAGTATTGTTAACATTGTATTTTACACTAGGCTGTAACTAGTAACCTGTAACTTCTATTAACTAACACAGTGCTTGCTTATATGTATATGTGTATCCATACCCTGTGCGTATATTTATATATAAATACACAAGGTAGGTAGCGTATAAATCAGAGCTATTCAGAAATTATCTTTTCTTTGAAAATAATTTGCTCAATATATTTCATGCTGAATTTAAAATACTTATTGTGGCAAAGTCGTCATTATATAGTTTTTCTAGGGCTTAAGACCTGTTTAACTTTCAATTTTGATTTACCTTACGTGATTGGCATTGTATGAGTAAGAAGAAATGTTTAACTGCAGCCAAATGGTGTTCATTCAAACAAGATGTAACCCAGTTTATCCAAAGATGAATGTGTTGTGAATTGAAGATCATATTCTGCCAACAGAAGAATTTAAACAGAGTAAGAGAATGAATGTTTCATACCAGTTGTATTTGAAGATGAAACATTTGCCTAAATGTCGCATAGGACTCTCTTGCTTGTTGTAATTGCTGCACACATTTAACTTTGCATTTCTTCTCAGTATTTATCTGTGTTCGTGTTTGATTCCTGATTGCCCACATGCAGGGAGTTGAGAGCAAAAAAAACCCCTAGAGCTTCAGAGTTAAATTAACAGGTTAGCATGTTTGCTCAAAACTTCTCTGTGCTTTAAAAATACTAACTTCCCGCTATCACAAAGAAATTAAGGTCACCTGGAGCTGGATGACAGTTGATTCACATGAAACAGAGGTGGAAATGAATCCTGTAAATTCTTGGTCTGTGCTTCAGTGCAGGAGCATCCTTGACATCCTTCTACATTTTCCAAATTATCTTAGTAGACATAGTGATATCTGATGATATAATGAAAGGATTCATTTACATCACCTTAAAATTTCTGGTAACAACAATAGATATATATGATCTACAAAACCCTGTAGGATTAAAACTGCAAAGCAGTGTGAATGTTGTGGCACTAACTGTGTGTTCATCACTAACAAAATCAAGAGTGTTTCATTTGTTTAATATATTCATTGTAATGCAGGTCCTTTCACATCCCAATTTCTTGTTTACAAGAATGTAATAGAATTTTAGGGGAGAGTGTAACTGGCTTCTGTTGAGAAGCTGGAACAGAGCTTCTGGATCTCATTTTAGACTGAGAAATGTTAAACAAATATTCTTTAATAGAAACACTGTTGAAAKAAAGTCAGCAAGGGTTAAAATTGTAATCTGGTGCTGGGTGGTTGTAAAAAGCTCGGCCAGTTCCTGGAGTGGCTCTGATTTTGAGCTTCATAAGTAAGACAGTTTAGGTGAGGCCCACCAAATCAAATGTAAATATATTTCAGTTAAAATACATAAAAAATATGCAATGTCTGTAATTGTGTTTTGAGTTGTTTTAGTAAGGCATACTGGCTGCATTGATGTCTTTCTAAAATGAATAAAAACACATGCTTCCTAAGTTTCCATTGCACTTGTGTTTCCTATTTCTTTTTCTCCCATTTATATCTTGATACAACTTCACTGTTTTTTTCATGAACCTGTCCCCTGACTACTTCCTTCTTTGTATTTCCCCCCTCCTTCTTATCACTTGCCATTTAATTAATAGCATTTCTTTCTGCAGTATTTTTGTTCTATGTGTCCTGTGCTTGCTTTTTTACAGTTTGTCACTACTTTTATTATCCGCCTTTCCAAACGATTTCCTGTTCTGTATTCTTATCCTAGTCCTTATTAATCTCTTAGTTGTTCCTTCCTGCTAAACATCTCTGTTTTCTTTCTCTCCTCTGCTTCAATTTAACAAAATTTTACTGTCTGAGAAGATATACCTATTTTTTCCATGTCTCTAAAATTTGGAACATTCTGAGCATATGTCTGCAAGTAGGTGCTGCATGCATACACCTGCATTAGTTAGTGATAATCCCCAAATGAAATTTCCAGGCAAAAAAAAAAAAAAAAAAAAGTGGTTTTAGGAGGGACAGACAATTTCCCTGGTAGAATTTCTGGCAAAGGAATTCAAGTTGGAAGTCCCGTGTTGATGGCTGCTTCGTAGCTGCATAGCCTACGAGGTGCTGTTTCCCCCATCTTTTCCTTCTGTTCAAATTGAGCAGTAGCCCAGGAAAGCCAGGAGCAGTGCTGAGAGGCAGGATCCCTCCGTGCAGCTGCAGCCAACTGCCACGAGCTCGAAACTCTTGCRCTTTTATCCTCACGTGAAGCCTCAGTTTGTGCACAGTTTGACATCTGCTCTCTGGCATCTGCGGCCTCGCTGGGAAATCCAGACAGCTTCAGAGCACAGAAGGCGAAAGACCCTCCCTGTTCTGAGGACGGGCAGGCCAGATGCCCGGGGTCCTTTCAGCTCCCAGCTCGGCCACCATAACTCCCCATCTGCCACCGTGGCTCCCCAGGCCTCCTCCCCGTGTCGGTTAATATTCACTGATCAAATACGAAATAGAACCCTTAAAAATGCACAACCACTGGTCACATAACCAGTCAAATAACTTCACTGCATTCAGGAAATTATTTAGATGTGTCGCTAGGAGCTGTTTCTGTCCATTAGCACCTTTTTTTTTTTTTTACGGAGACATTTTTGCGGCCTATTGAAAGCCAACTAGAACTGCAGAAAAAAACTCATGGAACTTGCCCATGTGTGGACAAGTGTCAGAAGTCTCCTGAGCACCGAGAGGGAGGAAGAACTAGTAAGTACCTTCAGAAAGCCAACCTGTCATTGTACATCCAACCTCAGGGCGTTTGTCACTTCAGAGAATTCAAGAAGGAGAGGAAAAGGGATCCAAGGTCCTTTATTCTCACCTCACAAAAGTGTCTGCGCTCTCTTAAGGCATCAGGTGTGGGCAGCCAAACCATGCTCGCTTTAAAGGACCTGCCAGCCTGCTAAAATTGCAGTCACCTCAAGCGTAGGAATGACTTCAAAAATGCTGTGGAGAAATCTTGCTAATTAATCTTTTTGAAAAATGTCCTTGAGAAAAGGAGTATCAAGAAGTGGTTCTGCAACACAGCATTCTTGGCCAGCAAAAAAAACACTTCTGGATCCATTTCACAGGATGAAATGGGGAAAGCTCTTCTTGTTACCCAAAGTTAGGAGGGTTTTGACCCAACTTTTGTTTGATACATCAGCTACCTTTTGAGAGTTTAAAATATCCTTTGAGTAAATTCATCAGGTTCTCTGGGAAGACATGCTTTGTAGGAATTCTTTGAAATTACATATAATTTTATATATTTATGTCCAGGTTCCAGAGGGTATTTGAATGAGATGTGGATTGTAAAATCTCTGTGTGAATCTAGATAATCATATATCATGTCTTTTGAATGCAAATTCATAACAGTTATTTTGCTTTTCTGTACTAGCCCAAAGATGAGTGTAAATATGTATGCTTTCTCCTATCAAGGAGGCAAAAGCCTTATAGCTTATTACAGGTAAGGCAAATGTGTGGATTTATTGTATTAGGACAGTGTCAGAGAAAAAAAGAAGGTGTGTTTATCTACTTTCATAAGGCTCGTTTTGAAGGTAGTAGCAGCTACTTCTGTATGTGTAGGAAGATACTGGGGCCACATTCATTCCCGTGATTCTTAGAACTACTAGGTTACAGCTGATGTAGGGGAATTAGCCAACTGTGCAATTAATTTCAAAGAGATGATTCATCACAACTGGTAACAGTCACTACCACCACATTAACAGTGGAAGACTCTCGGATAGGAAATTTAAAATATCCATAACATTTCAGTGTCTATTTTTTTTTTTGTCCTCTTCTAGCTTTGAGTGTATTTAAATACCAAGTTAAATTCAGTGCAGGTGTGTTGCTATATGCCTCGATATAATGGGTGCTATTTGGAGGATTTTAGAGTAGCTTACATAGCTACATTTTTTTCCTATTTATGAAGTATTAAACAATAATGCTTTGCTTTTCTGGCTGTTCTAAGATGAGGAAGCGGTTGAGTGTGGTAGGTGCATTTTTTTCTTCTTAGATTTAACTTTTCTTTCTTAAGTTATGTTTGCAGCCCATTTAATGATTTCCTTTCCTATTTTTCCTTCGTGCTTCTCAGAGGAAATTGAAGGTACTTGTACAAAAGTTTCCCTGCATAGCCCAATAATTTTATTTTGAGAACATGTGTTTAGAATTAAATTGAATATAGTCCAACATTTGTAAGAGATGTTGTACATACAATGCTTCCATGTTGCCACCAAATACATTGGTTCATTTTTTCTTACATAGATAAAAATATTACAGTATTCCTACTTATGTCATGTAAAGATGAATGTAAAGATCAGTTGGACTATTGTTATAAGCTGTTTTCTCTCTCTCTTGAACTGTTGGAGGAAAGATATGTGTAGAAGAGGAGTATCACATCCTTAGCAAAACTTAGGTGGCCTGGCTTGGAAGGAGATGAATCTGACTCAATGACATGGCCTTGAGAGCTCTTGCATTTATAGTTAATACTGAGGAAGTATTTCTCTGAGACAGTAGAAACTTCATCCCTGTAGTATCATCCTTACTGCTTTCCCTCCAATTCTAGCCTATTACTGCAGCTTACTACGTAAGCCTGCAGCACATGTTAAAGCAATAGCAGCTGATCTGTTGTATTTTCTTCTTTAAGAGGCCTTTGTTTACAAAGACATTAGAAACTGTAGCTCGTTTTTTTCATCAAAGGGCCTCTGGCATGTAAAAATATACGTTATAGCTATTTTACATCAAATGAAAGGATGTGTTTTTGATCAAAAACCTTTCTGTCTAATCCATTGAGCCAAGATTTAAAGCAGTCTGATAATTTATAATTTACAAAAAAAAAAAAGCTTGATTTACATTGAATACATTTTGCTTTCTTTTAAGTGGCATCACATTATTATTATTAACTCATAAAGGATGAATAATATAGCGTTAGAATTATTTTTAGAATATTTGTTTGCTGTAATCAAAAACCATTGTTTGAAAAGGTAAAAAGATCAATGTGCATGCTGCAAAAATCCAGAATATTTTCAGCTAAAATATAAAACAATAAACATTGTTTTATGTTTTTAAGAATATGGCTTATTGAAGGCTTTTTAATGCTATGCTTTGTACATTTGTCATTTTTAAAGTAATTTCTTCTGTATTTGTTGCGGGGCTTCTAACTATTCTGCTTTATTTCTTGGCTCTTATTCTGTGTGCTTTTACCCTTCGTCCAGAAGATGGTGAATGTGCTGGCCACAACAGTGGAGCCCATCTAGGTGAGCAGTTGGTTACAAAAGATGATTTCTTCCTTTCTTTCAGCTTCTGTTCCCTGGAACTACTGGGTCACTTTGCCCTTGGGGGTAATCTGCATACAAATGTCTTTCCTGTGCATGTTAAAAGCATGAATACTAAAATTCTAAAAATGGCTCATTGGATTTGACATAAAGGATTTACGTAGTGCAGTGTGTCTTTATCTGGCTAATCACAAGCTACTAAAATACTGTTTTGATTTTTAAGTCAAAATTAAAAAATACTGTAAGTGGGAAAATTTGCTCTTCTTTGTATATTAAGCAATGTGTTTAGTCAAACAGAAACATTACTATCTCATGAAATCTTTGAGTGGGACTTTAAAGAGACACTTTCAGTTTTTATCCACATCTTGCTTACCTTTTCTCTCTGTGTTTCTAGCTAATAATTTTTTGGCATGATTTAGTGACAGTGCCAAGCAAATTTGTATGCACTGGTTCCTATTCCGCATTACCAAAGTAAGTCATCATAGCCCAATAGTTTAAGTTTTACTTTAAAACTGGTCTGTGTCAGTGGGGTAGGAGGAATAGAGGAGAGGAAAGAGTCCTTTGGCTTCAGTTTAAGAATTCCAAATTTTTAACAAACATAACATTTAAAAAAGGTGATTTTTCCATGATATGTTTCAACTTCGAATTTGTGCCATTTAAAAAACTATTTTAAAATATTGTAGTTGAAACTGGCCAGAATTCCTGCTCATGGATGCTGGGCTAGGGTGGATCTTGCAACAACCAGCCCTTTTCCCAACGCTTTCTCCCTCCCACTGTGGGAGGAATGGGCAGAAACTTGTTGAAGTGCTTCACACATCCAAACCACTGGGCTCACTGAAACAACTTACACCAGTACTGTAAATTAGACATGGTTTTCATGTTGTAGAACCTTTTTAAAATGTGATAAATAAACTGCCTGCATAAGGACCACAAAAACTACATCATTTAAAGAACGCTGGCTTATTTCCAAACCCTAGTGTGCTGTAATTTGGCCAGTTGTTTGCAGAGCTAATGTTCACCTGTGTTGTGATTGTACTAAAAATAAACTTTTTACATTTGTTAGTCAATCAAATAATTGTATTAATAATGAAGTACAGCTGTACTGACAAATTGAAGTATACCTGGAAAATACCTGGTATTTTGAATTGCAGATGAACTATATTTGCTGTATAAAATCCTTTCGAAGTGAAAAGATAATTTTGCCCACTGATTGTTTCTGGCTTCATACATAGCAGGAATGTGAAGATTTAACTGCCAGCAATCAGATCCTAGTGGGCAGATACTTTTATGAGAATGAAAACAGCAAGATAGAACCTACTTCTCTATCTCCTTGTTTCAGAAATCTCAGGAGCCCAGTCCTGTTCATTCTCATTTCAGATTGTTTCCACCCTAAATTGTCTTTCAATTGTATCTTGTCAAGGAACACAGTCTCACTGAGGAATAACTTTCAGTGCTGGGCATTCTCTGCTGCCTAAAGGGCAACAATTTGGACAAAACCTGCTGAGCTGCTGCGGGGAGGACAGAAGATTCATACCAATATCTTGTATCATCTTGTATCCGCTGGTCCACTAATCCACAAGCTCATGGGGTTCTGGGCAGAGACACAAAGCCTCAGCTATGGAGAGCCCGTGCGCGCCTTATTTTCCACTGGTCTGACAACATATTCTTTCAGTGCCTTTCTGCCCCTTACTCCATCTTTTGAAGCTGTCAGGATCTCATATAGAATAAGCACTGCTGTTATGTTTACTTGTTTGGTTTTTTTTCCCCCCTTTCTGGCCTTTTGCATTTTGACTGTATTTTTTGAGTTCTTTCCCCAGTTTTTTTCTTCCTATTCCTTCTCCCCTGCTCCTTAGTTTCTTCTGCTTAATTCTCCATGCTGTTTCCTCTTCTCCAATCCTTCCTGAGGTTCAGCATCATAGGAACTAGACTGGAATTAGCCTGTCATGCCTTATCGCAGATTAGCACTGCTTTGTGGCTAAAAGCTCCCGTGTTTGTTCTTAACTCAAAGACAAGCTGTTGCACACCTGGATGCTAGATAAGAGGTAACAAACCCAGTGACTGCACCCATTGAGTAGTTACTGCTTTTATCAGCTTTCAGTGAGGGAGTTTGACACTCTCTTGAACACTGTACAAACGCAGTTTCCATCAGATAAATCAGATGCAGTATAGCCTGAAAGATTTGTCATGTTACATGAAGAAGAAAACGTGCAAAATAAGAATAATATGCACAGAATAAAAATACAGGACAATATTTTAATCCTCAGGGTTGTTTCTTCAGGTTGTACTGGCACACTGAGCATTTTAAAGCCAGCAGCTGATCCGACCTAAGCATGCTGCATCATACAGACTAAAGATGATGGTTAGGTATAATATGGAGAGCTGAATAAATGAAAGCTCATTTCAGAATGAGCATTCCGAAATTTCAAAAACTAAATTAATACTGTGCATCTAACAGACTTTAATATGGATACAATATAACAATCGTTTTTCCACTGTTATATAAAATATATCTTTTGGTCTGTTCTAGACCCTCAATTATTTTATCTGCATATGGTAAGAATAAGACTTATTCCCATCAGTTTCCCTTTCTATTATGTTTTAGACAGTTTAGAATTAAGATTAAAAAGAGAGAAATGCCACTTTATGTACTCTGATTTTGGATATTTTTAATGGTAAAAGTTTCACACTTGTACAGAAAAACCACAAGTAAAAAATTCATGAATAAGGACACCAGAGGTTATTTTGGTAAAACAAGTATTTCTGGTTTTGAAAACAGCTTATTCTGAATGTCCACCAATCTTTTTCAGTACTGTTTTAGTGAATCCTTAGCGTCACATTTTTTTCTGAGCCTGTATGTCTGTGCCAGACTGTAGACATTTATGGTGCTCCTTGCTCGTTAAGTAAACAAGAATTTCTAGTTAGGACCCTGCTTACTATAACAAAAGGTCTATATTAAACAAACTAAACTGAAAATGAAACCTAAAACATGGTCACTTGGAGGACTTAGGTCACACCAGCAAGTTCAGTATGTGCTAACAACACCCAAGAAACTGCCTGTGCACAAGTTGCAGCTTAGATCGAGTAAGTCTGAGTTATCTTTACAGTTGATGACGGATTTGACTTGTATTACCTTGCATCTACAGCGGGATTTAATCACCAAGATGGACAGTTGGGTTTCTGAGTTCTGGTAGCAGTCTTCCAAGTACAGATGTGTGAACATAGCAAGTGAATGACAGCAACTAATTTTTGAGTTTTCACTGGATATTTATGGCTCATTGTAGCTTTAGGGCTCTTCAGTTTGTGAATCAAGATATTCTATGTGTCATCTGGCCTTCTGTGAAATAACCTGTGTTTTAGATAGGCCGGAGATGGTCATGAAGAGCCACAGAAGAGGTAATTTTCAAAAAGCAGAACGTCCTTTCCATTTGGAGTCAGACCTTTTATGCCCAAGGTTATGCTGTTATTAATCCCCTCTAACGTGACTCAGACATATTTCATGATTTTTCACCAAATTCTAATATTTAAGTTATAGTTTAATGCTATATGTTTCTGCAGTAATTTCCTGAGGAATTGCTGTGGAGAACATTAGGAGAGCTTTGCCAAACTTAAATTCTAGTTACATTACCTGCACCTTTATGAACATACAGTAAATACAGATGAATATCATCTGTTTACTATTCTCAGTTTTGTTTTAAAAATCCAGACATAATCTGAATTTTTATTAACTCTGTCTAAATGTGCAAGCTGGGATTCAGTCCAGAAGCAAGCAGCGTACGAAGTCTGCTACGTGTTTGTGCAGTTCCTGTGTAACAACAGGAATACTCAGTATATGAGGCCTTCTGTACAGGGAGGGCAGGAAAAGAAATCGCAGTAATCGGGGGGAAAATATCCAGAAATATATAGTATAAAATATTTTTCCAAACATCAATAATGGCCATGGTACCAAACTTATTTTTGTCAGTAGCATGAATACAAAAAAGTATTCCTAAATGCACTTAAAAAAAAAGGAAATTTGTTCACTGTATGCAGAAAGTATGCAAGATTACTCCAAATCAGTGAAGAATGATCTAAATTACAGGCATAGTATTAAGTAATAGTATTAGTTAATGAAAGTGAACAAAAACTTATATAAGTATTTTGCAACATTTTAGAGCTTTACTCTAATTCCTAGTAAGTTTAAGAAGCATAGGTGAATTTAAATTGTAATACTCCCTACTAACAGAGTTTCTCTGAATTTGAGAAATGAACTCTCTACTTTCACAAGCAGATTTAAATTCACACAATGTAGTTGTAGGGTCTTGTTCATTTATTCTTTAGAATTATATTACTAAATCTAATAAAAGTCCTTACATTGACACCTTTTAAAAATATCTTAGGAAAGACTGGATATGTTCATGCTTTGCCAGTTCTCAAATTCGATTTCTGTGTGGGGTCCAGATGGGTGTCTCTATATAAATGTAAGGATGTATAAATGTTGTTCAGAGATAACTGAACATATATTGCTAGTAATAAAAAAAAAAAAAAAATTCACCTAGGATTTTTTTCTTTTTGATTTTTCTTATCCTTAGAGATATAAGTTGTTTCTCTTGTATTGTTATAGGGTCTTAAATAAGGTTATTAGTGACATTTCATGATTTTTTTTTTTTATTTCCTGTTGAGAAGTGTCATAAAGCTTGGAGATATTTGTGGTTTAAGAACATTTGTTCCTCATATTTACTTCCCAGCGGCTGTTCTTTATTTCTCCAAACTTGTTACATTCCGGGAGTAGTTTATAGGTTAGCGTGTTCCGAAGGCTTCTAGTCGGATATAGTTGAAACCCGTGAGTTGATGCAGAGTTCCTAATGTTCAGAAGTTTTTGTTGCTTTGGGGACAATTTTCCCTCTTTGTTTTACAGTCTGCACACTTGGTGTGCAGATTAACCAAGGTTAATCTTTGCTGATATCCATATTTCACAGACAGTACAGCTTGCAGCTCCCTTCCTATTTATTCACTTTCATATTATCAAATATTCTGGCTAAGCAAGGCTTTTTCCCTCTGTTCTTTTTTAGAAGTCTATTTTTAAGCTTGACAGTTTTATGGAAACAGTTCTTTGGTTTTCCATAGGGATTTTCACTGTATCTTTAACAATGCTCTATTGTTGATTTAAATATACGATGTTTTAGTTTTTCATCTCTCCAAAACTGTAAAATATGCAAACATTAAGGGTTTTTTTTTTTCCTGCTTGCACTTAAATGTATTCATGCCTTGCAAGTATCATGTCTTTTTCAGTAAAATGTAATCATTTTGCATAGTCATAGCTACAAAATATATATCACTGCTGACATTCTGCTAGAGAGCTATATCTAAAGGGAAATATCTGCAAATGTTCATAGTAAAACAGAGTTAGTCTCAAATGCTATAAAATCCATTAAATGGGTGAACAAAACAGCAAAAGCCTGCTTTTTGCAATTAAAAAATGCTGCTTTGGTGGCATTTCAGTTTTACTTTGGCAGGCCTGGCTTAAGCACAGTGGAAATGTTCACCGACACTCCAAAAGAGAGTTCTTGGAAAGGGAAAATTACTGTTTAATAAACAAAACTTTCAGTAATTTTCCATTTTCTTTTTGTATTAAGCACATGCATTCCTCATTTGTTATCTGTTAGATTGTCCTAAGAGTACAAGATTTATTGTAGCCTCAAAATATAATGATAAATAAATCTTAATTAGTTTCTAAGATTACCCCTGTGATCTTCTGTATTCAATATTCTGTATTGAATAAGACTTCTTTATGTAGTATTTATTCTTGGTCACATATCTTGAAGTGTCTTGATGAATATATTGCTTATAAAATGCAATCAGAACTCAATACAAAATATTAATGGTCCTTTATACAATAGTTTCTAAGGGTCAGTGTAAAGCTAAGCCACATATGGGAGGATGCGTAATTGCAGATGTGCGAGAGGGAGAACCTTATTCCCATGAATACAGTAGCAGTGTCATAAAAATGTTGGATATATTTGCAGTAGCCTCATCCTTTCTCTCATTACTGTATGTTTTTCTTGCTTTTGAAAGCTGCTTTAAGCAAGCTTTTTTAGGTTTCTGTACAGGGCTACTAAGATGTGCTTTGGGGAACAAAAGACTTAAAACCACTTGAAAATTGACAGTAGTGTTTAAGTGGCAAAACTATCAACCTGTACTAGGCTTCCAATGTTCTTTAGTTTCACAGAGCTTTACTAGCAAAGTGCAGAAAAATCAGTCCTAGTGGACCTCTGCTTAGTTATCTCTGTTCTTTTTTTTATTATTAATGTACTTTTTAGTGTGTGTGTGTGTGTGAGTGCGTGTAAGTTCTAGATGAACTTACTGATGAACTTTTTTAAGAAACAAGGAAATACTAGTATTTCCACATTACAAATCAGTTTGATTCACAGAAATAGTAAATGTTTTAATCCAGGAAGCATCTGTTAGTAGTGGAAACCTATGACTTGAGTTTTTGTGATGCTTTATACAAAGTCTGCAAAAGTGATCAGAGAGGAATTAGCCTAAGGACTTCATTGAAGGATTTTCTTCTCTCTTTATACATACAAAAAATAGATTCTCACTCCTTTAATAGAATAAGGAATTAAAGTTATTAAATAACTCACCATCTGACAGTTTGACAGCGAAACCTGAACACACAAAGTGGAAGGAGAAAAGAGGAACGAATTATTAATAGTTGTATTAAAATCTAACAGCAGAGATTGAATTGGTGATTAAGATTTTGCATGAAAAGATACTTGCATGAAGAGTACTCCTCATTAATATCAGACGTCTTAACATTTTAATTGAGATTAAAGAACCCGTTAGTAAAATACACTACGAAACCTGGAATCCTTGCTATTTGTAAAGTCAAAACCAAATGTAATATAGAAGATTGGTTTGGCTTCATTTGACTTGTACTCTTTTTTATTAAAAGAGAGTTCAGAAATGATTGCCTGTTAACATAGAACTGAACCCTCATCAGATATGTGAAATCTGGATTTTGTGAGAGAACTCTTCCTTTTTTTTTTTTTCCACTACTACTGCTACCACTACTACTACTTTGAAAGTCCCCATGCTTTTCTGGAAATGTTAGTTCTTTTCCTTTCATGCACTAATTTCCAGTTTGCTTATTCATATCTTACTATTAACGGGTCGATATCACTGTATCCTCAAAGAAATTTTCCTCCTTCCATTGTATGTAGGTGTATGTAATAACCACTTATAGGTACAGGGACTCACACCAGGGTAATAATGTTCCTTGTGACCCGGGTTCTGCAAAGGCTCCTGCAGAATGGAACTGCTTGGGGGCAAAATGCTCCGCTYGGGTATCTGAGACTCACAGATCTTCCTCCAAGTCTGGTTTGAAGAATATGCAGAGCTGAGTCTTGAATTTGCCAGATACTACCTTTGAAGAAAAAGTTGTAATATGACTGCTTTGCAAACACCTAAAAATAAGTGCTTTTACAAGTTTATTAAAACATATTGCTGAAAATTCTAAGGTCATTGAAAGTTTACATGTGTTTACTATCCTATGAAAAATCCCGGAGGGGGAAAAAGGTATTGGGATTGTTCAGTAATTTTTAAGTGCAGTTTGTTTTTTACCTTATTACTGCAAAATAATGGAATCAGCTTTGCAGTCTGGCCATCTAGTTCCTTCTAGAGAAAAGGTATGRTGTAGGGATACCAGTAAAATATATGTAGTGTTTATTTGAAAAAAAAMTATGATCGTTAACGATGGAGTAAATTTGTCTTTAATGTATAATGTAGAACATGTTATTTACTATTCTGCTTGAAACTGCTATGAATATTTCCTCTGAGAACATTTAAAAGCTGTGTGAAATTTCCACCCTTGCAGATATACACTGGTGATGTAACATGACTGATACAATTGTCAATGCAAATCTAATATGAATATTCATTTTTAATTTCATGCTATCATATCCATAAAATGAGTGCCCTGTTGTCCAAGATGTTCCATGGTTGTTTGAAGTTTAACTAACAGTGTTTGATTTTTATTTTCAATATCTTCAGGAAAGGTATGCATTTTCTGATGCTGTCAGCATGGAGCCAAGCACAAAAAAAAAAATTAAAGGAATTAATTTTCATTAACCATTTCAACCACGGGCTGTACTTCCATCATATGTTGCATTTAACATCTGTGTACCATAGTGATTTACTAGAATTACGTATGATAGGAGAGTCCAGATTGCATGAATGTTGTTCTTGTATGTTTGTGTATATATATGAAATATATAAAGTCAAAATTACGTAAATGCACTAACATTATTGTAATCATTTTATATTTTTATATGTTGTTTGTTGTTGCAATTGTGATTTTATTGGTAGTCTTACATTGGCACTTTAAATAGGCATCTGTTATTGTTTAAAACTGTGGAATAATATTGTTCTAATGACCTGGCTATATTATAATATATAATGCATTATTGTTAGTTCATTAAATATATAATACTTCTATATAATTCTATATTAATCATATATAACTATTAAATATGTAATTCATATATAAAAATGTAATACATTTTTGGTCCATGCACCAATCCACACGAGTTTGGAAGCTGTTGTTTTCAGATATGTTGAAGGAACTTATTTCTTACTTGCAAAAAATCCTGTTCTTATTGTAGCTGGTTTTAGAAGAAGTTTTCGTCTTAGCAGAAAAGACAAAAAAACAAACAAATCTATGTATGAGTGCAAGAAGAGTGATCAATATGATACAGCAGATATCCCAACATATGAAGAAGTTGCAAAATATCGACGACAACCTAATGAAAAATACAGGCTTGTAGTTTTGGTTGGTAAGTTGYTTTCTTTATTTTTATCCTGGTAAAACAGGACAGGTGGTCAGCACAGTAATCGCTCAGATTTGAAGGGACCTCAGGAGGTTGTCCAGTCCAACCACCTGCTCCAAGGAGGGTCAACACTGAGTTCAGTCCAGGCTGCCGGTGGCTTTTGTGGAGTCAGTCTGGGAATCCCCCAGGGCTGGAGATTCTGTAGCCTCTTTGGAAAAATGCTCCAGCATTGCATTGCCCTCAGAATGGAAAATAAACCATCCGTTTCAATTTATGACTGCTCCCATCCTCTTTCTCAGTAAATATCCTGTCTGTGTCTTCTCGGTAGGAATTAGATAGGTCCCTGGCACTCTCTTCTCCAAGCTGAACGAGCCCAGTTCCCTCAGCATCTCCTCCTGCGCCSTGTGCCCCAGCCCCTGACCACCTTGGCAGCCTTCCACAGCACTTGCGTCTTTTCATCACCTTCCTTCACATAGTGTGGACCCGGCCTGGCAGAGGTTTCCTCATGTGGCTCAATGCTGAGTAAAGAGAAGAATCACTTCCCTGCACTGTGTTGTGCTTCTCGTGATGCCTCCCGGGTGCTCTCTGCCTTCCCTGCTGCCGTTGTGCCCTGGGRGCTGGCACTTAGCTCACTGCCAACCAGAGCCATGGGGTCCTTTTCAGCAGAGCTGCTCCCCAAGCAGTCAGTCCCCTGCCAGTGCTGCTGTGAGGGTTCTTCTCACAGTGCAGGACTTAGAAATTCAGCAAGATGAATGCACAAGGTGTCTCTTAACCTATTCCTGTAGCATCTCTGAGTCTCTCTGAACTCTGTTCAGAGCCCTCAAGCAAGTCGTTTGCATTGTCCAGTTTGGTGCTGTCTGCAGACTTGAGGGCAAACTCTTTTTGCTCCTCCAGGYGGTTGATACAGAGAAGAAACAAGGTCCCAAGGTACTCTGAGGAACTCCATTTGTAAGCAATCTCCAGATAGAGTAGAAATCATTAGCCCCCATCCTTTGAGTGACACGATTGATCCATTTTGTCACCCATCTATATGTCCACCCATCACAGCAAAATGCAGCTTGGATACCAAGATGCTGTACRAGATCACATTGAAATCCTTGCTAAAACAAAGAGAGAAAATGGCATAAAAAAATATAGTTATCAAAGTAGTCACACTGAACCTGGCTATCAAACAGGACTAAAACTCATAAGAATTACATCAGTACATACACAGCTTTCTGCTTTTAGAGATGAGTCAATATTGCTATGTGGAAAAAGAAAAAAAAAAGAAACAAAGCCAGAATAAATTTCTGTGATCAGACAAGGCAGAATATATAGATGGAAGGTAGCAAAACTGTGATCTGTGATAGAACAAGTAAATACACAAGTTGAGAGAAAGGTAGATGAAGGGGGGACTATAGGTACGCCAAGAGCAGATGTAAGCATAGGTGGAACTAAGCCGCACGTAAAGATGTCATCCCTAAGCAGCTTGCTGTTCTGTAATTTATCACTGCAATGTTAGTATCTAATCAAAATGCATTGCTTCAGTCCCCTGAAAAAACAGAAAATTTCTTTTCCATAAGTAATCATAATGTCTCTTTATTTTTTGTCTCTTTTGCAGTAGCACATAGGCTGATGCTTCATTAGTAAAGTCTCCTGTAATCGGAAGGCAACAAAGCAGAAGAAATATGGCCCTCTATCAGGGACTGTTACAAACTGTTGAGTGGCTGTGTTTTTATATCTCTCATATCCAAGGGAACATTAAATTTAGGTTTTAATAAACAGTTCTGTCACTCTCCAACACTAAAATTCAGCCACCTACTASTGTGAGCACTGTGAGATTGCGGGCTATATACAACAAGTAATAACATGGTTGAGTTGATTTTACACTTACATCAACAGAGTGCAGTGCAGAAGTGTGATAAGTAGACTTTTTATAACAAATTGCATATGTCTGATCTGAGGAATACCTAGAGATTTCATTTGATTTTTGTGGTAATAAATCAAATGAAGAAAGTGTGCTTTTTCAGTAACAAAAGTACTTCAGAAATTTATTGCAGACTTCAGTAATTCTAATGTTTTTTCTCTGGATATTAAGAGCAGCTTAAGTCTGGCCAATACCATAAAAATGTCTTGGGCAAAATGTGGAAAAACTAGCAGAACTAGGCAACACAGGTATAGTAGAAGCAAACGCATTTAAAAAGCTTTTTGTGTGCCAGTAGCAGCATTCAATATAATCTGTCAAATATAATTTGGGCATTAGTACCAGGGGAAAAAAAGATAATTAATTTATAAATGAAATTGTTGGGGACTTGACATGTCCAATGTGTTTTGTTAGGACTAAACACATGCTTTACTGTTGGAAGGTTTTTTAGTTTTTTGCTTTATTCTTTCTGAAGGGAGGCTGGGCTGAGGGGCTGACCGCTTTGAGGTGGAAATTTCTTTTGGCTTCGTATCAAATTTTGATATTGACGGTATGCAAGCTGCATGTTTGGTCATTTTTAGTCCTTCTAGTGTGAGATGAATTAGGTTGAGGTTCAGCTAGACATGCTAGTCTGTCARGATTTCGCCTTGTCTGCAAGTGTGCATCCATGAATACAGTCTGCATAGCCTTGGGGCTAAAATGGATCATCTGGAGCAGTTACAGTGCAGGTGCTCCTCCTGTGCTGTCTTTTAATTATTATCGATGTGATGAGTGTTCTTGGAACAAAACTATCCAGTGTCATACAACCAGTCTTCTTCTGGTAACTTAGTATTCCCAGGCTGCTCACACATCATTGAAGTCTTCCTTTCAGAAATGTTGCCTGCATCCTAGGATGATACCTTGCAGCCTTATCAAGGAGAGGCAGAATATTTTAATATTCAGTACATTTTTAGACAATAGAATTGTAATTATGTTGATCAGGAAAAGTCCTGCTCACGAAGGCTTCTTCTTCAGTGCCTGCGAGCACCAGACTAGCACAGAAAGTGTTTTCTAAAAATCATAATGGATGTGTCATATAAAGCAAGCTCAATAATAACAAACTATTAGCAAGCATGTATCCCAGAACAAATATACGTATGTGCATTATTTCTAGAATTATATATGTGCATAAAGTGTGATGGCCAGAGGCATGCAGAGCCTGAGTAGTCCCTTTCTGATGCCATGGTCACCTATGGTGATGCATCTGCCCTGAGTGGACAGTGGTGGCAGCAAGGATCAGAGGTGTGGGAGCGTGAAGGAGCAATGTTTATTGGCATAAGAAATAAATCAAAAAATGTGCTCTATCCCAAAGTTAGGCTTTCTTTGGAAGAAAGACATTGTGGAAAAGCTCTGTTTTTATCATGAAGGACCTATGCAGAAAGCCCGGTCTGTCTCAGCAGGGGTAGGATGAGATGGAGTAGCTTCTGGTTTTCCTTTCCCTCYTGGCTTTCTTTTAACATCTACGGAGGCTCTTGAGGAGGACCTTGCAGAGGCTCAATAGAGCTGCGGGAGTCCTGCAGGAGTCCTGCAGGATAAATGGCATGTTATGCCCATACGACATCACGTAAACCATCTAGACAGGAATTACTGTCTCCCCGAAACCTTCCTAGCTGAAGGCAYGGGTGGGTCAGGAGGACTCAGTAAATGTCTGATTTGTACAGAATGCAATGTTTATGTAGGCTAACCTTGCCTGTGGGAACCCAGTATCACCTCCTACTGCTAGTTATAATTTACTGAAACACAAAATAATGAGGCTCTACTTTCCTACCTCATATCTAATTGTTTCCACAAGTGTTACAGTGGGATATGCATGTACAGTCATTGCATTATAGCAATCAGTTGTACTGGAGAGAAGTAATTCAGCTACAGAAACCAATTTTTCACCTAACTCCCAGATTTTTTTCCTTTAAGACAGCTTTGTTTTCCATGTCTCAAATACACAGATTTAKAGTTGTTCAATATGTATCTACTTGCGAAGAATTGCTTCTCAGGTCAGCCTTCCTGGGTGTTGAACTTGCATAAACGTTATTTCCAGTTTTCTTCAAAAAATGTGTATGTGTCATGCAAAACTTAATGCAAGTTTTTCTGTTTGTGTCTAAGTCTGCAAGCATCTGTSAATAAGGTGAGGCAGTTACTAGAGGTTGTTTTTGTAGGATTCAACCATAACTTAGTTTACCTGACTCAAGATGGAACCACAATTGACATAAATATTCCTTTAAAAATTAAACAAAGTATCTCTAAATCTCATGCCATAACACTAAATATTGGTGTGTGGTTTGATCTGTAGTAAAACTAAACCTTTTTACAGGCATGAATCTGGCATCCCTGGCGTTATGCTAGGAGAATTTGGATTGTGTTTTTTAACATGTACTGTACTTACTTGGATTGTGTTTTTTAACATGTACTTACTGTTAATGAATTCAAATCATGAATTCAAATCATGTCCTCAGATTCATAATTATTAGAACTCCATATACTTCTTGATTGCATAAAAATGAATATTCAGATAGAAGTATACAATATACTTGGGAAATGTAGTATAAAAAAAGAAAATCTAATGGCACTACTAATTAGGAATCACCCTCCAGTGTCAATTTGCTACAACTTGGGAGTCCTACAAAGACAGCATGGAATCAAAAGACTCTGCACCTTTTAGTAGTTAAATTTAAGGTGATTTTAAAATGGTAATCTGTAAGGAGASACAGCGTAGTTTTGAAGTCTTGGTATGGAAACATTTAATCTAAGTTGTAAAAGCATCTCTCGGTTCATGAAGTCTAGGTTCTTTATATATAAACAGAGCGAAAAGTATATTGTTGATCTGACAGCATGTAGACTAAGGAAATAATATTTGGGTAAATTTGATAGGAAATATTTTTTGTTGGAAGAAATATAACTTTTTTTATATACTTTAATTGCACTTATTCTGCTTTGCTAGGATCTGTTGAAGGTTTTAATTACGTTCCTTGCAAAACCCCTTATTGAGTTCAGTTAGAAGTGGTAGCATGTTTTTAAAAAGGCTGAGAACAAAATTAATGCCATTAGCTGCGTGACACATCGCTTTCCTCTGCAGACATGCACCAGTAGAGGCTGCTGTACACCATATTAAATAAACATTTATACGTACTGATAGATTAATTTACAGGCAGGTCAGAGATGGATCTTGAAATGTAGTTGTGTGTTTAACTTATGTAAACATATAAAATTACAAATACAGAAACGCTAAGATTTTACAGAGAGACCATAGTCTGGGGGTAGTAGAAAGCGTTTGCTTTTCATCATTACGTGTTTCTAACTTCAGACAGGATGGGTAGTCATTTCTGCAACTGGAAATTGGCACCTAAACGTGCTGAAGCATCAGTCTTTGGTTCCTGCTACCAGACTTTCAATAGTAATTAAGCAGTATGCCACTATTTCCTTAAAATGTTTATAGGATTTCATGTCTAGTTTATGTCTGTATTAAAAAACATTCACTGTGTGTTGTGAGAATAGCAGGATTCTTCCCTAGAAGCACGTGTATTGTGCTGGTGTTGTTTGGGTTATGCTTCAGGTGACTCAGTGTCCTCCAAGCTCTGCCCTTGACCTGGCTCTGAGGACACAGGGCCCCGTCAGACACGGGGTTCACTGCACTGGGCCAGCCCCACACACAGCCCACACCAGGGCCCACCAGGGCTCCSCACCAGCAGGGCGGTGAGTGGAGCCCACAGGGAGGCCTGAGGTGGTGGCCAACCACCCCACGTAGCCCATGAGCCCTCACCAGGGTTGGCAGCACCTCCCTGAAACTCCTTCCTCCACCCAAAGTACTGCAGCCAACAGCCAGGGTTGGGGATAACAGGAGAGCAGAGGGGCTGTCTTCTCCTCCGCTTAAGTAGTATAAAATCTACTTCTCCTCCACTTAAGTGGAGGAGAGGGGTGAGAAAAGCCCTGAGAAAATTCCATGCTGGCTTTGTTTCTTCTGCCATCTTCTTTCCAAGAGTGGTCCCTCTTTTGCAGCCTCACAAAGAGGGGAACATTTATTTTGGACCAGTCCAGACAGCRGACAGTATACAAGAAACATGTAAAAGAAAAAGCAGCAACAACAAACAAAGGAAGAAGCAAACTCACCCAAATAGGTTGTGGCCTGGAGAGCACTCTGTGCATTGGAGAGGAGCTGCAGTCCCATGGGTATTTCCTAATGATTSCGATTAAAAACCCTATATATATTATAGCTATGTAGTATGTCACCTTCTCTTAGGAAGTACTTATGCCTTAAGAACACAGAAAACTATCTGTTGGAAAAAAGCATATTTTTCTTTCAGGTCCTGTAGGGGTTGGACTCAATGAGCTTAAACGGAAATTGCTGATCAGTGATACGCAGCACTATGGGGTAACAGTGCCACGTGAGTAAAAGTTGCATTTCTGCTTTATTAGTGCTTTACTTAGCTTACATTAACTGAAGGCATKTGCAAATCTGGGCCTCTGAGCCTAACCTTGGCATCCAAGTCACTTTTCTAATCTTTAAAAGTGCTGCTGCAGTTGTATTTCTATAGCATTGATTAAAACTGATAAGACATTTTGGCTCAGAGGCATTGCAGTAGATTTTAAGTGCAAGTTTAGCAAGATTTATGTCAACGAAGTTCAGTAAATGAGACTCGTCCAAAGAGCACCCTGGATTTGGCTGCAAAGGAGTGAAGCATTCCCCAATACCCTTCCTTCTGTGCAGCCCAATGGCCTTTAGATACTAGGTAATTTTAGGCAGCCTGACAAATGAAGAGTGATGATAAACAGTTTCATTCTATGTATGAATGAATCAAAACCATTTAACGAGCCCTGGAAAGATGATTTATTTTCTTTTTGCCCCTTCCCCATGTCGGTCCAAGTTGTATAATTTGTATAACACTCTTCTAAGTAACATTTCTCTATAGGAACTTTTATAGTACATGACTGTATTTTCAGTCATGACCACTATATTCAGTGGTCTGCTTACTACATGTAATTTTGCCTTTTGGAGGGGTCCCTAAATATATGGATCAGAAATTCTGAGTTTTGGAAATACTGTCCCAGTATTTTGAAAATGCAGGTATTCTATAAGGTATACATACAAATTAGTTTGCTAAATGCAAAGATGCATACATTTGTTTTCAGCAATTCGATTGGCAAATATTTGCCTCAGCTCAATATTAAAATAAAAGGCAACAAAAAAGCCAGATGTTCCCAAATATTTAACATATGGAAGCATATGCAGTCCCTTGCCCAGAACTATTTCTCTAAAATTTGCCAGTATTCATCAAACTGCCTTTTCTGTTTGCTCCTCAAAATTTGTGGTTATAATTTAAAATAAACAAGTAAAGAAATCCTTCTTCAGTAATTCAGTAAGTCAGAAGTTTCAAGGAGACCAGGAGGGTTCTTGTCATGGAAATGTTTCTTTTTGTRTGATTGAGAAGAGCATGGCATCAACTGGCATTTTAGGCTGGGTTTCTGCAAGCAGGGCAGGTAGGTTCACACATGATAGGGAATGCATGATGCTGGTAAATGCAAATTATAGTGAATATGAGTGTGGAAGGATTTGTTATTCCCAAATGGCAAGTCCACAAATAAGATTTATTCAAAAGCAAAACTTTGGTACATACATTCTACTGTTGYGTTCTGCATATCTCCCTTTTTATATTATACTTGAGGGAAGTAAAAAGGGACTGTGCAGAATGCAAATAATGATAYAAGATTACTGAAAGAAAAAGGAATTCCTTTTTGTTCACCAGAAACAGGAAAGCAGTAAAGCATAAAACTCACACCCCATTTTTTTATTATCATGCCTCACATACCATAGCTACAAGTGTTGTTAATGAACATAACATTTTATAAATCAGGTTCGTGAACTTTGTTTCCCTTTATGGTCTCATATGCTAATAAGTAGCAAGGTGGGGTAATTGTTATGGACWGCTGTTCATTTTATTGTTCTGCTGTCTGCTCTGATTTTATTGGGATTTTTCCACTAGTTAGTAAAAGTGATAATCTGACACTTACCCAGTAGGTTTTTTCCTTTGCCTGCTTTGAGCCTCAATCCKGTCATGGATTTGAGCGCCGCCTACCAGATCCAGAGCAGCCCTAAGTCAATCGGAAGTTAAAGAACTGCTGTGCTTAGTGTCACAGGAGGCTTGTGTGCTTTTAAATGTTTCCTGAGCTGGTTTACATTACTGTGTTTTGCCCATCTGATCCTTTTTATTTTTTTTAATGAAACTGCAGACACTACCAGAGCAAGAAGAAGCCAAGAAAGTGACGGTGTTGAGTACATTTTCATTTCCAAGCACTTGTTTGAGACAGATGTACAGAATAACAAGTACGTTGAAGAGATTTTACCTGAAACTGAACCACAGTTAAAAGAATGRCTATAATGTAAAATGTGGCTGGTTGTAATTTAGGTAATATTTCAAAGTGGATATAAGTTGCAGTGATTTGAAGATGTGTAAAAATTACATTGTAATATCTAAGCAGTTGAGAACAGCTGCAAAAAGCACAGAACAAAAAAGCACGATATACAAAGCAGAAAYGGTTCTGAATTCCCAAGCAGTTTCAGTATTACAGCTCATCAATAAGACACTGAAACTGCTGGAGTTCAAGACAGGAGAGACACTCTCTCTCTTCCGCTGAGGTGTTGCAAGGCGGGAGGAGAGGCCTGGAAAAGCTGCGAACATGGTTAAGTCAATGTTTGTGGAGTTACGCTCTCTTTCAGGACAGGCGCTTCCCGCTCTTTTAAATGCAGAGACCTACAGTGAAGCCCCTCGCCATAAACTCTCCAGAAATTAGACCAAAATGAAGACAGCGATAGCATCATGCTCCCTAGCAGCCTGTAAAATCCTGTAGCTTGAAATTCTGCCCTAGTATTTCAGAGGGCAAAAGTGTATTAGACACAAAGCTGTGGGTTTTATTGAAACTTCAAACTGTGCTTTGCTTTTTTGGCAAATAGTGCTTGCACTTTTATAGCGCATAACCAGCCGCCTTGGTTCCATTAGCACCGTCATAGCTCCTCCTCTTCTGAGACAGAGAATTTGGGTATTCTGTGGTGTGCAGTGAAATTTCAGTAGTTTCTATTGTTTAGCTTATCCACTGTTTTATTGCATTGCATTAGTTCAGAAAAAGAGGTGATGGAAAACATTAGTGGGCTGTTGGACTATAGCACTTTTTTCGCTTTTACTGTAATACAAGCAGGTGTTACTGATTTGAAAGTGGTAAAATGGAAGATTTCTTAAAATTGACATGCTGAAGTACTTGACAGCATTTCCTTTATAAAACATGGCAAAACTCACATGTAAAGTAAAATATATCTGCCTCTGAATTAATCTTATAAACCAGACTGATGAGTTTTTGCTGAAGAAAATGGCAATGATTCCAGTTGTTTTCACCTTCTGCTGCAGGTTTATTGAGTATGGTGAATATAAGAACAACTACTATGGTACAAGTTTAGACTCCGTTCGGTCTGTTCTGGCTAAAAACAAAGTTTGTTTGTTGGATGTGCAGCCTCATGTAAGTAAACACGTCTTTTGGCATCTTGTAGTTAATTCCCTGCACCACACACTGAGATTCTAGGGGAAAAAAAGCTCTCTTCCTGGAGAAGTGTGTTTCATTCCATGCTGAGTTTCCAAGCTTGCTGGGTACCTTTATCCTAGCAAGACTTCTTGAAGGAGAAGAAGGAAACTTCAGTCCTTATTGGCAGATGGCAGCCCTATTGGCTCAGTAATTAACCGAATTGAAAGCCTGCAGCATAGCACCGAAGATTTAATTATCAAATGCTCTGGTATTTTCACTCATCTCTCCGCTGGTTTGGGTTACAGCTTCTGTCAAAATCAACCTTAATTCCAGAATATCCTTGAGCTACCTCCCAGTCCAGCAGCTCTCTCACACACACATTTAACTGCTTGATATCAGCAGGACTGCTATGAAAGGCTTTCCATGCAGGATGGGCATAAGGCAAGGAGCACAATAAATGTAATGTGGGCTGAGGAATGCTACGAACCTTCCTGCCCAAAGCTCTCCTGCTTGGGCTGGCCTTGCCTGGGAGCCTGGCTGAGCTGCCCTGCTGTGGGGCAAATGATCATCATTCAGGTGATACTGAAGAGAATGAATGATTGACCTGTTGCACCTAATTGCCACAACCCCCTTTTTCCATTTCTCCTCATGGGTGTAGCAAGGTTTTYGTCCTTCTGAAATCCTGCCAAGCTGAGCTTCCTGCTCTCCCTTCTGCAGCTGCAAGGGGCAGTGCTGGGGACAGCCTGGCTTTGCCAATGGGACTAGCCCAGGTGGAAATTATGAATTTTCTTGCCATTTACRTGAAAAAAATCTTACATGAATTGATGCTTGTCAACAAAGTGGGATGGTGTTAAATGCAGAATATCCTGCATGGTGGATTTTTTGTTGTTGTTAGTGGAGARTTTTCTTTTGTTACTGTAAATTCCGCTGTGAGAAATAAGCTAAATGTAGTCTTTCCTCTTCCCAGACAGTGAAACACTTACGGACATATGAATTTAAACCATTTGTTATATTTATAAAGCCTCCATCACTTGAACGTTTGAGAGAGACCAGAAAAAATGCAAAGATTATTTCAAGTAAAGATGATAGGGGAACTGCAAAACCCTTTACAGTAAGTATACGTAGACTTGGTAAACACATGAGAACTTGTTAGGAGTTTTTTGTGGTGGTTTACCTTGATTTAAGGATTGTTATTTGTCCTTGCTGGATTCTGTCTAGAATACTTGTCAAGGTCTATACATAGTATATACGTTGTCTCCCAATCTCTATCACATCCCAAACATGCTGGGGCATTTTTAGTGCTCGTTATGCTCATGCATACTTACATTTCCATGATGCTCTGTTTGTTTTTATATCATCACAGAACCCCGAACTGTAAGAAATATATTTTTAAAAGAAATATTGCTGTGGGTTTTYTTTAAAACTGTTGCATTTGGGCTCAGCTGTTTCTAATACAAGAACTTTATGATGTTAGTGGGTATATTATTGAATCAAAATTTAGAGCAAAACTCAAATATGAAGCATTAATTTGAAAAGTAAATGCTTATTTAACAAAAAAAATCCATCCACTGGTAAGAGACCTATTTTTTAAGTGTTAAATAAGCTATAAGACTTAAGTACTATTAGAAAGACAAAAATCTAAACAAATAACAATGCTACTGTGTGAATAAGCAGAAAAACATGAGGTACATTAGAAGTAACCTAATCTACTTCTTTGAAATATAATGAAATAAGATTTTAACTGAAGCTAAAGCAAAGCTGACCACAGACTTTGTTATCTACATCTACTTTGTTTATCATTTTCCTTCGTTCTGGTGCTCTTTATAATTTAAACAWTTTTTTTTTTCAAGCTGAGCCACTGATGCAGACTCAATGTGGCTAAAATACACTTTTGAAATAGTTTGGAAATCCTATGCTATTAGAATATTTTGTGTGGTATATGAAATGTGAAAGCAGTTTGTTCTGAAGAGTAATCTTTCTTCAGGACATTATTTATTTGGGACTATTTTGGTCTCTCCTAGTTATATAATCAATATAATTTCTAAAATTTGTTCCCTCCCCAAACCACGAATAGAAATCCACTGATCTTTCACACACCCACCAAGCCCTTCAAAAATAAATAAAGCCTGTATTGTAATATATCCCTTGATAATAGCAAGCTGAGGCTTGAGTAACAAAGCTCCCAGTGTATCATCAAAGTAAACAGAAACACTTCCCACTGGTACTCTTCACCCAAAGTGTCTCTACAGTTCCCATTTAGTGACTAATTGTGTTGCTGCCAGGGACAAGAGGGAATGAAATGCCTGTTGAGCAAAGCCTACTTGTGAGAATGTTCTCTGAGATCATATGAAATGGTAAATACTAGGTATTTTTAAATAAAAYGTACTGTTTCCATTTCCTGATAAAAAATAAGCAACTGGCTTTCCCTTTTTCACAGAATTTGTGTATTTAATGTTTCCCTGGACTGACTACTCCTTTCACTGATCTTACTAGGAAGAAGATTTTCAAGAAATGATTAAATCTGCTCAGGTGATGGAAGGCCAGTACGGCCATCTCTTTGATAAGGTGATAGTCAACGATGACCTTGCTACTGCTTACAGTGAGCTCAAAACAACTTTTGACAGGTTGGAGACTGAGACCTTCTGGGTTCCCGTCAGCTGGCTGCATTCGTAACATTGAAATGGGCAGAACTCCTGGTGATGGCTCCGAATCCRAATATGGTGCATTTTTAGGCATTCTTTACTTGCTGTGTTCTTGGTAGGAGGGCTTTACAACTCTTAATGGCAGAGCAGGTACAGTCTTCCTGTGCTTGAAACATTGGTCTTGTTTTTCGGTGTCTTCAGTCATTCTGTGCAGAATTTTGGGGCAGTACAGTCAGGTTTAACCCTCTCTTCACACTCCAGAAAGGGAGCTAACCCTAGTGTAACAAAACTGCCAAACACCTCCTTGTTATTCCTAAGTCTGTCTCCAAGGCATGTCTTTTTAATAGAGAGTTAGCAGGAGATAGTAATTAATTCTAGAGATCAGCACTTTGATAGTTTTAAATGTAACTACTCTYATAAAAAGCACATCAGTGCTTGGCAGTTGAGTGCTTGAGAGAACGGAAACAGGCAAAAGTGACCAACATTTTTTATGAGGAAGACATCATAGTTTAATTAAATTATCAAGATAAGTCTTTTTACTTTTTTAGATGTGAACCTCGTCTTACATGTACAGACTGATTTTAATATTCCTTTGCACTTAYGAAATGCAATTTGTATTCAGTGGCTCGATTGTGGAATACTCTGCTAGGAGCATGCATGGATTGGAAATATTTTCACGCATGCTTTGTGGCAAAACATGGGAATATTTATTGAAATAGGGTAAAGTTACTATGTATATAACTTTCAAATCTTTCTTTGGGATTAATCTTCTGTAATATCAGTGATATGTTGGTAGGAGCAACAGAAAGGAGAGAAAACATTTTTTCTTTTATTTCAAACATTTTTAGCATCCTTTAGAATATTGGAAAATTTCTGATGGGAAAAGTAATTATTGAGGAAACATTTGAGATCTTGGAAGCAGTTGCAATAAATTAATTCTTTCTATGTTTTGTATGTGATGTTACATTTTTTTCATAGTGTTAACAGACATTAAAATGAATGCTGTAAATTTCAGTATAAAGCTATACTTGCCACTGCTCAGACAGTTAGAAACCTCAAAATAAATTTCACTTGGCAGTGTAAGCAAATGTATAATAGATTATATTATAGATAATCTGGTAAATCTCTTTTATTTACTACTGATATGCAGGAAATCTGTAAAGACCAAGTAACACCTGTGTGCTAATTGTGTTGTGAGTATGTGTTACAAGTGCAGAATGTGTATATGAACTTGCTCTCTTCTTCATATCATCACATCTGTGGCATTCAGACGGGAAACAGAGTTATTTCATGTTAATCTGTAAAGAGAGTATAGCTGTCTTGCTTAAAGAGAAAAAAGAATTTAGTGAAACTTTATATATTTATGAAGGGGTTTAAAAGGGATGTTAAGTTTTTTTGTTTCTTGTCAGTGTGATCATTTATGAAATGGATTACTAGATCCCTGTAGCTGAAACACTGTCTTGTAAATTGAGTTCAACATTCCATGTAAATACTCGTTTTATACGCTGATGAAGCCATCTGATTTTTCTGTTGTATTCTAAATGCATATTTAGGCATATTTAACGTGTGGGTCATTGCGTTTGGCAGAAAGCTGTATAAACCTAATGAAAGGCAAGCAACAAGAGCAAAATCCCTAGGAGTCTGGAAATGTTTATGCAAGAGTTGCAGACGTACTGAGTCTCGGTGCAGATACCTGCTGTTTGAACAACTACAATGTAACTTTTGTCAAATTTCATCATTTTTTCTGGTGGACTTAATCTTTTTCGTAACCTAAATAGAAATTTGTTGATTAAAKTAATTGCGTGCAGATTGCAATGTGGGTTGAAAACATGTTTTCTATTTTTTTATTGCTGAAAATGGAACTAATTTTCGGGAGCTCTGGTATTCAGCATGTCTGTCTCCACCTGCAAGGTGCTGGGGCCTCTCTCCATCTCTTGCAGCTACCCAGAGCTGGGAGAGCACYGTGCAGCTCTCAGGATCTGGCCCTTTTCAACAAGAGGAGCTTTAGTTTTTAATGAAACACTCTGTTAGCTCTGCTTCTAACCCAGGGTGTCTCGATGCATTAGTGCAGAATAACTTTCACATAAGGGACCTGCTTTTCTCCTTAAGAAATAKATGCTAGAATAGATGCTAGGGAAAACTGCCCTTTTTGGACCAGTCCTGACTGTCCTGAAGGCTTTTTCCTGTCCTCTTAAAATGATTTTCAGTCCCACTCCTGGGTCGCCGTGTTCTTGGAGGACTTTCTGCAGCAGGTTGGCAGTGTCGGGCAGCAGTGACCAGCGCGGCGCTCGGTGCCTTGCAGAGACACCGACCCTCTGATCCCAGCACAGTCCCAGCAGGAGTTTCCTAGACAGATGCCTGCCCACCCCTGTCTCCAAGCCAGAAGCTAATTCCTGACTTAGAGCACCTGCAAAAGACAGGGAACCCCCGATGTGTCCAGCAAACAGTAAAATGTGTGCTGAGTCTTTTAGGAGTGAGAAATAATTTTAAGAGAATTAACTAGATTTCCCTTCAAAAGCAACGTTGCTGCAGTGGTTGCCTACCAGCAAACCCAGGAGCCGTGGGCCTGTGGGAGGGAGGTGTAGGCGACTGTCCCACCAAGGCACAAAAAGTCTTAGCCCAAGAGATGGGACGGGACAGGAGGGTGCGTGGGGCAGTGGCCTCGCTCCTGAGCTGCCCATAAGGTGCTCTCTGTTCCTCTTAACTTCTAAGAACTTGTGAATGAAGATGACTACATGTATTTCTAATACTACACATATCGAGTTGTGCTGTGYGGGTTTTTAGAGAAYTGTATGTTTTGACAGTCAAGTCCAGATACTGTGTTTTAGCCATTTACCGTAGTCAAGCAAATGTTTGTTTTGGGKTTTTTTTTGCTTTTTTTAATATTGTACCAAGCTCTATACTTGAAGTCGCCATSAGGTCATTGGTTGATGTCATACCTGGAATGGAATCTGATCTTACCTTATTATGCAAAACAATAAATTATTGGTGAATCACTAAAGGCTGTACTTTATTTTTATTCTAAGTTGCACCATAAAATATATGTCCAGTGACTTTAAAAGATAAAATGCTTAACAAACAAGTTAGGTTGTTCCCATAGCTGTATCTCCTCGAAACCATAATCTTTAAATGCAAAATGATCAACCCAGAACAAAGCCTCAGACTCCTGATTTATCATTTTTGTTGTTCAAAGCAGATTTTTRCCCTCTCCTGCAGCCCGGCCCCCAAGTTACCCAGTTTGTTCATGAGAGGGGACACTCCAGATGATGTCTCAGACTGAGACCCCAAGATCCAGAACCACCGCGGAGGTTTGTGTGAAGAGGTGCTTATTCAGAAAAGGAACAAAGAGGAGGATGTCACCTACATTAAATACTGCTGAGGCTTTTTTCAGTGTAGATCTCACACCTTCCTCTGGCCTGTGAAGATGTTTACAGCCATTTGTTGTCTTGTCATTAGAAATGCCTGTGCGTGTCACCAGTAACCGTGGCTGTGCTGACAAAGGTGCGTTCATCGTGTTGGGGTGTCACAGAGCCCTTGTGCTCCTAGTCCACCTGCAAGATACAGGTAGGTTCTGTTACGTCTGATAAGGCTTGAAAAAAACAGTATTTTAACTGTATTTAAAGGCTGTATATAAAAACTGTATTTAAAGATAATATTTTAGCACTGTGTTATATATTTTTTCTGGAGAAGAAAAAGCCTAGTATATACTAAGATTAGAGAGAAGATTTTGAAACCCTTTCCATTTTGTTTGAGTGCAGTATTCTGCCTTTCAGGTTCACATTTCTACTGTGCGTGAAAAATTTCTTCTTCAAAAAGTTGGTGTTTAGTTTTTGTGAGACCACTCCAAAGGAAAGATAGCTTTTCAGAGGTTTACAGTTAAAAATATAATTGTACATATTTTTACTACGACGATGGCTACAGTTACTCTATTGCAGGATCAAGGGTTTTCTGTCTGTATTGATGTTTAAAATCATTTTTACCTGCAATTTACCTGACCTWCTTTTGCTCTCAGGGTCATTAAGTATTTATCATCTATTACTATGATTTATGTAGGATCCCAAGCAGTCAACAGAAGAATGTCTAAAAACCAGAACCTGAAGGAATACAATGCATGTATTTGTTGTTGAAGAGTCCTGATGTTTGACAATGGTTAAAGCTTTCTGCAGAAACACTATGCAAAAACAACATTTGGAAACAGTTAAGGTCTGGTCTTAAATTTTGTCTTAYGTTAAATGACAGTACAAATGAGAGAATTTGGAGTTCTAGACAGCTGGATACTTTTCCCCTCACAGTATCTGTGTCTGAAATACAAGTTGCATATTTGGAAGACCGTATGGAATGAATTTTCATTTCTAAAGTAAAATACTATAGTATTTTGTGCAGCTCACATCCAACATTTCAACAAAGAGAGTAAACACTTGTGATTGTTGATACTTTATTTATGGTGTGCTTATTTTAGTGGTGCACCTATGTCTGCTTAAACAAAATTTCCAAGACTTAGTGGCACTAAGTTGGCAACTGCACAGTTCAATGTCTAAATGGGGAAAAATAGCTTCAGGATTCCCAAACGGGTTCAAATGGCACAAATACTATTTGAAAACTTCTTGATAAAAATAAATAGAGAAAAATAGGCCACAACTTCTTTTGTATGCACATTGCTTCTTTTGAATAGTCACATTGGAATTCAAGACTTGAATGTGCTAGAAAGACAAAAACAATAGTAGACATGCTATAATTTTCCTTAAGTAAATTTTAGATCTGTGGTTTAACAAAGATGTTATGAGCTTTCTATAGCATCATGCACAGGCTTATGGAAACTTAATTTTAAGGGATTAGGTGCCTGTTTTAAAGAGAGTGGGTCTGTGGGTATGGCAGAGCCTAGTTAAAAAGGAGAGAACTATCCTGGAAATTTATCTTCTAGGTACCCAAGCTGGTGCTGTTGATGCTGGCAAAGCTGTTGCTTCGTTTTCTGCTGACTTTGTTATATCCTTCACAGAGAGAGGACACAGGTCACAGTTTTAAGATTGACTCACCAAACTGTTTAACCATTGGCAATTTCATTCTCTTTTTCCTCTTGGCCCTTGTACAGATTTAATGTAGTAATCTTAGTTGAACAAGGGGGAGAAGGATAATTGAGATAATTGACTCATCTTGAGACCTAGTGAGACACCAAATCTTTGGCATGAGGACAGCAGCGATGCTGGCATAGAGGGCTGTGCAGAACTGGGATTCAAGGTCCCAGAGAAGGCCGAGGTTGTAGCTGCTTCCTGGCATGGTTCAAACTGTCCTATTTGGATAGTATGAAAGAGTAACATCAGTTATTGGCCCTCCTGAGATGTTTTTCATGACATTTTTCTTTACCCAGCAGTTAAGCAGGAAGTAAAACCCAAACTGGAGACTAATTTGAGCCATCGGTTTGTGAAAAAACACAACTGAACTTGAATTATTATCTTCTGCTTTCACTGAATTGTGATCATCATGGGCTGCACCTGGATCCAAAGCGGATTCAATCCAAACTGAAAAACACACAGATTCAAGCCTCACTGTTGGTAGAAATGGGGGATATGGTGAAAGGCAAGACTGCACCTGTAATAAGCRCAGCTAATGTTATTTTTATGCAAATATCAACTTCATTTCACTAGGCATGAGTATATATAGAGATATAGATACACATTTCTACTGCTGTGGTATATAATTACATTTCATTGAGAAAAACAAGCTTATCAAATGAATTTATTGCTTAACTGAGAGATAAGAGATGAAAGAAAGAAGTCCACTAGGTATAAYAGCCGAGTTCTAGTAAACAGCTAAGTAATTTTACTCAGGAGGACACTCACACACCTCAGCAAGCTTAAACTTTCACATTTCAAATACGCTGTTTTTCTGCTGTGTAGTGAAAGTCAAGAGAGACCTTGATTGAATGCAGACTTACAAACTTCTTCCCTACAAACTTAGTTGAACGTGAAATCTTGCTGCGATTAGCTTAATTGTTCTCTACATAAAGAGACAGCTTTGTACATAGACTATAATTTTATGCTTGCCAGATAAAGAAATGTGAACCTGTCAGGAGACGTAGGAATTTGTCTGTGTAGGAGTATCCCTGGGCCAACTCTTTTCCTTTTATGTGATACTGTGGTGTAAAACACAGCTCCGCTGGTTTCGCTTTACATGAAATAGTTGCTGTGGTGGCATCCTGTGGGAACTGAGGTATCAAGTTCTGTTTTCCCTGCAAAATAGGCCCTGAACTTAAATCTGACTACACGCATATATTCCTTTTGCAGCCATCTGCATTACTATCGGCCAGCCACATGGATTGGGGAAATGCGGTGGCAGAGCCGGGATCCTGCAGGAAGCGATTCCAAGAAATGAAGGCAGTACCAGTCACCACGGAGRAGAATGCCATTCTGTTGCCATAGCTTTTGAAAACAGAGATGGTATTCACAATAAAATTAGGGAAGTATTTTAGTAAGAGAGGAAAATGCTTCATTTGATTCCATTTCTAATCTCCAGAAGTCTCTTTGACACTTCTAATTTTCAGCCACTATTAATTGACCTACAGATACTTTTTAGTTTTCTTTTGGCTTCCCTACTGCCTACATGAAAGTAACTGTGCTTGTAATTAAAACCACCTTCTTTTTTTTTTTTTTAATATAAATGTAAAAGTGAAAGGTGTGAAGTTCCTATCTTCCAAAGCTACCAGACCAAGCAGATAGAATTTCTTCAACTGCTCCTAAGTGACCTATTCTCTTTAATCCCATTTCCTTTCTTCCCCCACTGTTTTTAGGAAGCTTCTCTGAGCCCAAGGCTGGTGGTTTAACCAGAGCAGATGCGGAGCAGAAAGGAGAGGCTGGTCAGGAACTGCTGGAAGGGAGAGGCCATGGCCCTGTAGGGCTCAGGGCCCTGGCAAGTCGGCAAGTCTCAKGCAGACCTGAGCAGCCTAAAAGGCAAAACAGCATGGGAAGGTGATCTAAMAGCAAGCTGCCATTTACTGCCTCTTATCTGTGAGAAGGGCAAGTGTCCACCCTGGTGCCCTTTGCTCATAGGTGTTCAGCAGGGACCAGTTAAAGGGCTTGATGTTTACAGCTCACCTGTAGAGCCTGACTAATGGCTAAAGAGAAGCGTCTTTCCCATTGTGACCACTATCAAGGGGACTGGTGACCTCGTACTCCCCTTCTCCATCTATAGGACAAAGCCTCTCCATCTAGAAGAGAGTCCAGAGGATCATTCATATCTGCCAGCCAGCCCAGCCCCTAGATTTTGTCTGCCCTGTGTCCCAGCTGTAACTCTTGTCTCCTCTCAGAAGGCTTCCTACATCTGCTCCTTTTACCTTGCTGTACTCCCAGACTTCTCTAAGGAAGTGAAAAGCCCAACTGTTCTCTGTTGTTTAGGTTGCAGGACAAATTTTTTTACTTGATGCCCAAACCGCGCAATTAATCAGGTTCACATTCAATCATGCTCAATCACAGCACAGCATCCTCGACCAGAAGCCACACAGGAGCCCTCATTTCTGAGGAAAGGCTTCTTCAGAAAGCATTTAAGGACTCCAGATGTGTTCTCCCAGCTGGCAGGTATGAGGCAGAAGAGCATCTCTCATCCTCCACAGCTGTGAGTGCTACAGTGAGTCCTATGGAGCATCCAGAGGCAGATGTGTCTGTAGACACTCCTACATGTTCCTTTCCCTTGGTTCAATCCACTTTCTGGTAAAGAGGCTGTGAGTTGATCTAGCATGTCCCTCTGTGCCAGATTAAAGCACTTCCTATGTGCAGTTCTGAACTCCGTCACAGCAGAACTTCCATTTGGTCCACTTGATGTTGTCATGGCCTGCATGTAGGTCTTGGTTTCATGGTCACCAGAAGTCA